TCAACTTTGGTTCCACCATGAGGAAAGTAAGCAAGCTACACGGCTGAATTTAAACTGAAGGCAGTGCAGTATGCGCTGGAGCAAGGCAACCGGGCTGCAAGCAGGCATTTTGGTGTTGGAAAAAACAGTATTCGGTACTGAAGGGATCAAGAAGAAAAACCTAAAGCGACTAAGAAGACACGACAGGCTTTCCACGGTGCCAAGACAGGCAGGTATCCGAACTTCGAAGAGCACTGGTTCGGCACGTACGGGAGCTACGACAAGACTACTGTGCTGCGTCATTGAATATTGTGCAGACTGAGGCGCACAGAATAGCCCGAGCGCAGTGCATCGAAGCAAAAGAGTTCAAAGCCAGCTCCGGATGGACAACTTGTTTCATGCGGCACCATAGCCTCTCACTGTGAAGGCAGACCACCTTGTGCTAGCGCTGGCCCGCAGCCTATGAGGACAAAATGGTGGACTTCCACCGTTTCGTTCTAAACCTCCGACAGCAGAAAGACTTCATTTTGTCACAGATCAGCAACGCTGATCAGACCCCCCTTTGCTCTGATATGCCGTAGAACACGACAGAGGAGAAGAAAAGTGCACGGAGCGTCATCGTCAAACTGGCACTGATAAACAACAATGCACCGTAACGCTAACAGTGACAGCAAATGGGCGCAAGCTACCGCCTTACGTTATTTTTAAACGTAAGACGCTCCCAAAGGCAAATTTCCCTCAAGGCATCTACGTCAGAGTCCAGGAAAAAGGCTGGATGAGTGCGGAACTCGTGGATTGGGTGAAAACAGTCTGGGGTCGGCGGACAGGTGGTCTGTTGTTCCCGTCTATGCTTGTAATGGACAGTTTTCGTGGGTGCCTTGTAGACCGCGTACGAGACGAGCTAAAGGAGCTGCGCACAGATCTAGCTGCAATTCCGGGCGGCCTCGCATCGATACTGCAGCCTTTGGACGTGTCCTTGAATAAGCATTTCAAGGACAATGTTCGAAGGCTGTACACACCTGATTGGCTGGAGGACAACATCAGCTGACTCCAGGTGGTAAGATTAAGTGGCCACCTGTGGAAATGCTGTGCGCTTGGATCATGGAAGCGTGGCAGGTGCTCTCCGACGAAGTCATCGGAAAAAGCTTTAAAACTACGGGTATCTCGAATGCACTGGATGCGAGGAAGGATGGCACGTTGTGGGGTACGGATGATTGGGGCACCGAAAACGAATCCCCGCTCGGGGAGGATAAATGTGTGCCATCCGACTCTGATTCCGAATAGGGAAAAGGAGGAACACCTACGACTTTTGTGTAAATAAATTTTTTATGTGTGTGCAGTTGACGGCTCTTGCTGGTCCATTAAAAGTTACGCAAGTATGTTTGTTAAGCTTATGCTGAATTAATTGGTAAACGATAAAGTCCCCTTTGACTTGACAAATGTGCAGATTTAAAGCGTAAAAACCGAGTCGAAAAAATTTTCGAGAATTTTACCCACATAATTAGCGCACCCTAACTTCGAGCCGGATTTCCTGAAGAAAAAAAAGTGCGCTATTTATGCAAGTAAATACAGTATTCAGATGAAAAACCAATCATGCTAACTGCAGTTCCGTTTGAACAGCAATTTCCATTTTAGAGACTTCCGTTTACTGATGTTGAATCCCAACGGCAGAGTCGGAGCATCTGATGGACTGAGCGAGCACTGGACTGGCTACAGCAACGCCTCCGAATCCATGACTGAAACACAATCCGTGCCGCCAGAGCAAGCATGAAAGTAAGGACAAAGCAGAAGTCATTGAGTTGCCCAGAATACCTTGCATGTAGGTATTTTATTCCGGTAATTCAGCCATCAAATTCCGTTGAAATACCGCTCGTACATAGTTGCTTCAGTGTCGGTGACACAATCCGATGAGGTGCTCGTGCTGGAACTACAGCTTTCTGACACGGATCCGTCGCCAACATGAGACTGCGGCGGCGCCACCAAGCGGGCGAACGTTTTAAAGGGAGCGTGTCATGCCAAGTTCTGGTCCACTTCGCCAATTTCAGCAGAGCAACTTATCTTGCTCCTCGGAGTGACTCCCGCTCTGAAGCTACTGAGACTCTCATTGGAACAATACGACTCCTGCCCACACTCTGCCATTGAAACACACTTGCTCCAAAGGGAGCAGAAAAACTTGCTCAGACTCCGCCATTGCAATTTAAAACGAGAGTCTACTCTAGACTGAAATCTCGGTGGCGATTATAGCTTATACAAATTTGGGATGATAAACCTTTTTCTCTGGTCCTTGCCGAGACAAGACCTAAATGTACTGGAGTGAAGGTGTTGCGCACAGATTTCTAACCTACACCATTTGCTAATCAGCCATATTTGAAACAAAAACACCTCCCGTGGCAGCAAAACTCTCTGCAATCATGTGCGAGCATGCATGCCTTGCCATTTGGTTTGGTTTTACCACTACAATGGGGTTATGCAGAGGTCTGTTATATTTTGAAGTATCTATCAATGTTACACTGTGGCTTGACTGTTTTACTGTAAGAAGCCTCACAATATCAAGTGAAGCCCCCAGCGCAGCATTTTGTCGCAAGTTATAAACTGTGGGATCTCGACGAAGAAGAACGAGCGCATCGCCACGCCACGCTCTTGGAGTGAACGGACACAGTGGACGCGGTCCGTACAAAGCACACCACATACATACATTCATTAACCAATTCAGACGACGACATCGTCAGCCGAATGCCACATCAATTTTAACCAACATGCCACCATACAAACAACATAACGCAGGGACACACTAAACACACAATAACATGATAAACACACACTAACACACCCAACACACTAGCACATACCCAAGGCGGCGTCGCCAACGCCTGACCTTACACGCGGGACCCCGGCGCGAAGCCCGCGGTGCCGAGCACCGGGGACCCGCGCCACAGACAACCGTTCGCGGCAGCCGCCACGCGCAGAAGAGACTCGCTCAACTGTCGCCCACCCCCAAGGCCCGCCTTCCGCCAGGGGGCCACCGCCGGCGCTACCACTCTACCAACAGTGGTACTCAAAGCGAACACAACGCCATCTATCGCCCGGCGGTGGTCACCACCGAAACAAAGCCTTGGGGCGAGACACGTGCGCCACGCGGCGCAGACAACTTTACAGGGAGGGTGTCAGCACCCCCACATTCCCCCAACCTTAAATCAAACCATATCCCGAAATCGAAAATTAGCTACACAAGCTTCAACAGAAAAATGATATCGCACGACCATAATGTCTTTGCACCACGACACCGCCGCCGGTCGACACTGCTGCACTGTCCGGCTAGGCTTCACCTCAGTACCGGCCCCGCAACAGCAACGTTGCCGTCGGCGCGACGATCCGTCGCTAGCGCCGACACGTCTTCCAGTTGCGACCAGCACTCGCGAGGGCGCCGGACTGCAGGCAGTTGCGCAGGTCCCAGGCATCTCCATCGCCCGACCTCACGACCGCATTCCTGGCCAGCGACGCTGACGAGGTGCAGGACAGCCGGCCGTGGATGACATCCCTCCCGCTGAATACATCGACAAAAAACAAAACTCGAAAGAAACAAAGGAGCGCGGCCCAGGGGAGGGAGCTTCAGGCTTTGCGGCCACGTGGTACGGTGGTCAGTACTGCTAGCTAATACATCGGTGGCAGCCGAGACGCCCATCAAAATAAAACAAAAATCACTTTTCCTGACTCGTGCTCACAAGAAAAAAAGTGAGGGAAGCGGAGTGCGACACCTCAACGCCACGATCCACCTAGTTGTGCCACGTGCGACAGGCGGCTGCGCAGAGCCCTAGGCCCAATGAGTCGCACGGCAACAACCGGCATCCACCCAGCACCCAGCCCAGGCGCAGAAGAGGCAGCCGCGAGGAGACGTCCACTCTGTGGGGTGGCCCTATCGCTCGCCGCACACAGCAGCTTACCGAGCGATTGGCGTCCACCGCCCCGGGCGGTGTCACGACGCCTCGGCGTCGAGCCGCAATACAAGTCAGCAACGACGCCCGGCTCCCTGAGCCCAAAGAGATAGAAGAAGCTATTCACAGAAAATCGGACCACCCACGAGGCCTCCGCACTCACTCGCCTCGGGCCTGGCCCACAAACCACGTGCTCTAGGCCCCGCTCACCCCAGGATGCGGACCGCATGGCTCTCGTCCCAATTCAACAACGCCCTTGAAAACCAACAACAAAAAATAACAACACCTGCGAGCAAAAAAAACAAATAGAAAGTCAACCTGCCGACAAATTGAAACACGCTACAAAACCAATCTCCTCGCCTCCCAACAAAGCACACCACCGACGCTAGCAAAGAAGTCCCCGCTAGGCCTACTCCACTCCGGCTCCAACAAAATCCCTGTACCGAACCGCAAAACTGTCGTCCGATACTCCAAGAGCCCCACGTTGGGCAGCCAGTGTGGGATCTCGACGAAGAAGAACGAGCGCATCGCCACGCCACGCTCTTGGAGTGAACGGACACAGTGGACGCGGTCCGTACAAAGCACACCACATACATACATTCATTAACCAATTCAGACGACGACATCGTCAGCCGAATGCCACATCAATTTTAACCAACATGCCACCATACAAACAACATAACGCAGGGACACACTAAACACACAATAACATGATAAACACACACTAACACACCCAACACACTAGCACATACCCAAGGCGGCGTCGCCAACGCCTGACCTTACACGCGGGACCCCGGCGCGAAGCCCGCGGTGCCGAGCACCGGGGACCCGCGCCACAGACAACCGTTCGCGGCAGCCGCCACGCGCAGAAGAGACTCGCTCAACTGTCGCCCACCCCCAAGGCCCGCCTTCCGCCAGGGGGCCACCGCCGGCGCTACCACTCTACCAACAGTGGTACTCAAAGCGAACACAACGCCATCTATCGCCCGGCGGTGGTCACCACCGAAACAAAGCCTTGGGGCGAGACACGTGCGCCACGCGGCGCAGACAACTTTACAGGGAGGGTGTCAGCACCCCCACAAAACTCACCACGCTGTGCTGTGGCATTGGGCACAAAGGTGTGCGCTGGGGAAGGGTGCAAGGCGGGTGCAAAGGGTCCCACGGCTGGAGGGGCAGCGGCACCCGAGAGCAGGAACTGCTGGAATGCCAGTGGGTGGAGACCCTGGGCCAGGGCCTGCTGCAGCATCTCAACCGAGGTGCCACGCCCACTGCCGCCAGGCATGCCTTTCATTCCGCCAGCTGCACAACGGAACCGAGCACCACGGTCGGAGGAAGTAGATGGCATTTGGATTCAGTGCTAACACTGCATAATGCTTGATCAACGATCATTCTATGCACTACTCACGGTCACAGGCCTCGAGCACACGAAAATGGCACAATGCAGCTATGCTCAGCTTGCACGGCAATTTTCCCTTGACACAAGCTCTCATAATGGAAGCAACTTTTCACAGACTGCACTTTAGAACAGACGTGCACACAGGCTACAGTCGCGCACAAAATTAACTTGCACAAACAAGCTAAAAAACATTACCTTCGGGACTAGGTGCCTGTGACAAAAGCTGCAAAGCTGGTTATCAGCACTCTCCTGTTCCCTCCTCTGCTCCACCAAAGTAGTGTCAGCTGCGAGCACTCGTAGCATTGGGTGCTCCAAATGCCCAAGGCTCAAAGATTACACGAATGTCTCAAGCCCCAACCATATGTACGTGTTGCAACACCTCAGCATGTGGCTTGCCTTCTCCCTCCATAAAAATGCAGGGAGACTACGAGTATATACCACAGCTAGGGTTTACAGCTGCCACGGAGGCAGCATCGGTCATAGATGCCGTACCAATGACTGCATAGAGAACTCTAAGCTTATTATTACTGCTTTTCATAGCTCCACAAGGAGTGCACTCACAAGACTGCATTGCACTACGAGGAACCCCTGTCCACTGTAGTAAATTGGGCAGCACCACAGGCATCTAGTAAAGGAGACATCATAAAATCGCACACTGTCACCCCTGTGATGGCGACGACACTGAACCCTCTGATGGGAGAATGTTGCCAATGTGGTTTTGTATTTGAAGCAAACAGGCAATTTTAGAACTCACCATATCAGAAATAAGGTAAGAGTTATATTCCATTTCTTTTACAGGAAAATATAAACATTACATTTACTCAGACCTCTTAAAGTTAAATGCTAGCCTATATGTTTTAAAAATAATTAAACTACCCTCCATGAAACAGTGCATGTTCAGTTTCTTTTGGCGTTGGGGCAGCCATCACGATGGCTGAGCTTCATGGAGTCCGCGGCATACAGCAACCGCAGATCATGTCCCGTGGATGCCTCCCGGATAGTCCAATATCGGCGTCGTCGCACTCGTGGCACGTTGCATTTTATGTTCTTTGAGTGTTGCATTAGAAGATTGTGCAAGGCTGTTTTCACGCATCATAAGTGATGCATTTGATTTGGCTGGCGATATCGTTGTTTGTAAAAGCAAGTGAATAAATGTACAAGTGTTTGGTTTGGCTGACGACATCTGTGTTCGTGTGATCGGAGAGCAATTGGTGCTCTATCTCTAAATATTCAAGTTAAGGGGAGATGCTACTCGAAAAACGATTTTCTTTAATAAGAGTCTGAATTTAACACAAATTGGCATGCCGGTAGAGTTTTTTTTCTCCTCTTTTCAAATATGTCATTTATTTTCATGTAGATTGCTTGGTTTTCTTTCTGCAGGTCAGATACTGCAAAATTATGGCCATTGTTATGCAACAATTCTGACCTATAAAAATTTGAGATAAAGCATGCAGATATAGCTGACTATGATCCTTTGGAACTGTAGAGTGCAAAAAACTATATAAATTTTGTGTGTAAAAAGGTGAAATACAATAATAAAATAGAAAAATTTACTATGGCTCTAGTTGCCAAGGGCTTTCAATGTTATGTAATTTTTGAAAAACAATCAAGCAGCACTGACAATCTGAATAGATACTTGCACTCTATGGGCCTTCATCATGCTATGTGCAAAATTTCATAGAGGTATGACAATTCTAAGTATACGAACTAGCGTGTATAAGAAGCACAGATCATACAAAACTGCAAAAGGAGAAAAACGCATTTGAAAGCTTGAAACCTTTTTTTTTTTTATCACAGAGTTGTTAGAAATGCATAATCTTTGGCCATAATGTTCAACAGAACTTTGAAAAGCACTGCAAGTTACTAGAACTGTCCTGCAGCATAGGTTGTGCCCTCACGGTCCTTGCGAGCACTCTTCTAGCCGTGCCCTTTTCACTCCACGACGACGGTGGGCCCTTGCTTCTGCTGTCAGACGCTCGGACATTCTCTTGATGCGCCTCGCATCGCGGGAATCACTGAAAGTAACTAGATCTCTAGATGGCAGTATGTTGAGCTCTTCCAGGAGGTGCTCGAAATTAGCATGACCCTTGTTGAACCACAGGATTGCCATAGCTGCGGCAGTCTCAACAAACATTCGGGAGACAAACTTAGTCTTGGGACAAAGTAGCCAAATTTTGCTGTTCAGGGATTCCGATGCGTTCTGGGTTTTCCCTTCGATGCATCGAGCAAGGAGCTTCTCATCCGTTAGCCGCTTATAAATGGCAAAACAGCCAATTCCTGTGCTTTTGTCAGGAGAGGTGTGTGGCGTGGTGCAGGTTCACCAAGTGCTTCAGCGCGTTGATGTTTGCACCACGACTCTGTTCCTGCAGGGCAAAACTTGTGGCTGCCAGCATTGTCAGTAGAGCATGAGTGGAAGTACGAAGCCCATACTGCAGTGTACATATCCCGTACACTCCCCCTGTTGCTTGTTATGGCAATCTGATGGTATGTTTGGAGCTTCTGAATGGCTGGCTCTCATTTTCTGCCCTCGTGGTAATGGCATATGCAGCTCCCGTAGCGCGGTGCGAAGTCTCTTGGCCACATGATTAGTGCAGTCTTCTTTTTCTATATTGACAGCACCATAGACTTGACTCTGCAACTGCACTATATGCTTTGCTGTCACCGTCACTCAAGAATGTCATGAAATGCAGTGGGGTGTCATAATGTTCTCTGCCAAATGCGCATTGCAGCCTCCGTTTCCATGGCATGGGAGGAACAGTCTGCATTTTTTTCACAGACTGGGCCATGGAATGCCTGCCACACTTCCTCGTCTGGGCCCATATCTTTGTGCCTACTGCATGTCAGGCAGTAATTTGATATGACCTCGAAGTCTAAGCAGAGGCCAGTATCTAAGGTGATAACTGCGCCAATCCCGTTGTGGCTTTTGTGGCCCCTCTTCTGCCAAGTGCCGTCAAACATAACAGCCACATCAGTTTCGCCTGCTACTTCTTTCGTCAACTCTCTGGATCGGCGCAAGTTTTCACTCACAGCTGCCATGGCAGCGGTGTGCACCTTCTTTCCTATCGAAAAAAATCCTCGGTGGTGCATTGGCTTTGGGAGTCCAATAATGGAGCAAAATCTCGACAATTGCTCATGCCCAATGCCGACAGCGCGTGCAGCCACCACCGCCTTCACATTTACAGCGAAACTATCTCGGGAGCTCTCACTGTCGTACCGTTGGCTCACTCGGCTGCTGCTGTCCGCCGTAACACACAGTGACGTATAGGAGCACGAAAGAACAGTCGCTGAGCATTCGCTGTTTTCGCAATGAAGTTCGAGGAGCGACGAAAGTCCCTTGCGCTTTACTGCCGGCTCCCGAACGGCAAGTTTTTGAATACCGCAAGCAGGGCATGCCGCACCTGCCACAAGTGCCGTCAGCAAGAAGGTGTCGCACAAAACTGTCGTTGCACATACCTCATCGCGCTGTCTTTCGTCTTTTTCGAAGAAGCCGAGCTTCTTTTCCGAAGCACTGACGAAAGAAAACGCCGATGGCCGCCACCAACACAGCTGACAATGACTCGGTAGCCAATGGCGATGCGGCTTAGGGTGCCGCGCGTTTCAAACCGCTCAAACCACGTGATAAAAAGGCCTCGTTTTTAATTTTTTTTTGCCCACGTACGAAACTGGCGGTCGTCGGAGCTGTAAGAAGAAGGCCGTGCACAACTTTCCCAACCGATCGCGATGGCGGGCGGCACTGCGACGGGGAGCAGCGCGCAGTCAAAGATGGCCAATATCGGCGCAAATTCACAAAATTTTGAGCCACCGCAATGCCTTCATACACATTTTTTTGCATTTTGCGGTTCGAATTTAGTTTTGAAATTTTCACAGATGAAAGAAGAAGGTTTGAAGATTACAATGCAATAAAAATCAGAAATACGAGAAATTTCGCTAAAAACGCGATTTTTCGACTCGCATCTCCCCTTAATCTCTTATGATGAGCTTTTGTTTCAGTTGCGAACCAATCAGAAAGAAGGTGGGTAATGGCTTCGGACCGAACACCCCACCGCTGCACTGACCGTGGTGGGCACGGGACACAGCCATGGCGGCAGGTGTGGGAGCTGCTGGTGGAGCAGCTGTCATGCCTCCCGCAGTCCTCATCATGCCTGGCAGCTTGATGGTCGGGTGTCCCTGCTGCTGCTGCCTGACCATGCCCAGCACACCAGGTGGCGCCCTCTGCTGCTGCTGGATGAGGCGCTGCTGCTCAAACAGCTTGGCCATCATGTCCACCTCTCCAGTGCCTCGCATAAGGCTGCCCGCAGCTGAGTACAGCACAGGAAAGAGAGAGAGGGTCACATGCAGGTTTGAACAACCTGCCTCGCTGCATTTAATGCAGCTCACCTAAACTTTACCTCAACGCAAAGGGAAGCATTGTCGCATAAGCAACAACGCCGCTGCACATTGGTTTCCATCTCCAATAGCATACTACCTATACTGTGCGGGTATTTAGGTGTGCAAATATCGGCCGACTGTCTTAGCGACATGCGCTCTCCACAGCAAGTAAACGTACAAGGCATGGTGCGGACCGTGACCATAACATATCCTAATGTCGCCGAGCTGCGATATTGTATTTTTTTTTTTTTTCATTTTGGCCCACTTACAAGAACAGCCGATGCTGCAGAGGATGCAACATATAACCTATAGTACAGCAGCACAGCACCATAATCATCAAGTGAAGGCAGTGGGTTTTCACAAGGATGTAGCACCATTCCATGTATGGAGTACTGACTCGACTGGTGCAACACAAATGTGACACTGGTTCTATTACTTGAGGCAAGCAGGGGGTGAGCATACCCTGCTGCTGAGGTGGATGCTGCTGAATGAGCTTGGGGTTCTTCGAGTCTGACGAAGTTGGTGGCTGGGCAGCCTGGTTGCCTTTTATGATGGCCCTGCCAAGGGTGGGAGCACGAGGCACCGTGCCATTGTTAATTCGATGGTGCTGTTGCTGCTGTCTGGTAGTGCCATCGCTTGGTGTGGCTTCCCCGTTAGCTTTGGAGCCGCCTTTGTCAGAGGCTGCACAGTGCACAGAAAGCAGCGTGAACAAGCACTTCACATGAGAAGACATGCGCCAATACACTCAAACCTCTATATAATGAACCCAGATATAGCGAAGTATCGGTTATAACAAAGCAAATGAGAAATATTCTTCAAATAAATAGTCTTAGCAATACACCTTTATAACTAATCTTCAGATACGACGAACTTATTTTCATGTAAGATGCAACTTCATTATAATGAGGTTTGACTGTACCAAGTGTACTAGAAGCTAACGAGAACATGCAAGATAGAACAGCACTGCCTTATCACCCTCCTCCTATGAGGACCCTGTACAATAACTTCTGTTGAGGACCCTGTAAAACAAGCACTGTTGAGGACCCTGTAAAACAAGCACTGTTGAGGACCCTGTAAAACAAGCACTGTTGAGGACCCTGTAGCGTTCAATCCCTTCATCGCAGCCACTGTCGCTCGCTGCCACTCGTCGATGCCGCCGCGAGGCCTAGCACACATAGGCGCGTTCTCGTTCGTTGCAGTCGTTTGGGGCGCCTTAACGCCGCCTTCCCTTGAACTTGTGCTTCGTTCGAAACTTCTGCGGTCTCATGTGCACTTTTTTGGGCTTGTCATCGCGGAAGTATGCGTAGACGCGCAGAAAAGCAGACGGACCAAACGCCGATGGCCGCCACCAACACAGCTGACAATGACTCGGTAGCCAATGGCGATGCGGCTTAGGGGTGCCGCGCGTTTCAAAACGCTCAACCCACGTGATAAAAAGGCCTCGTTTTTAATTTTTTTTTGCCCACGTACGAAACTGGCGGTCGTCGGAGCTTGTAAGAAGAAGGCCGTGCACAACTTTCCCAACGATGCGATGGCGGGCGGCACTGCGACGGGGAGCAGCGCGCAGTCAAAGATGGCCAATATCGGCGCAAATTCACAATTTGAGCCACGCAAGGCCTTCATACACCATTTTTTTGCATTTTGCGGTTCGAATTTAGTTTTGAAATTTTCACAGATGAAAGAAGACGGTTTGAAGATTACCAATGCAATAAAAATCAGAAATACGAGAAATTTCGCTAAAAACGCGATTTTTCGACTAGCATCTCCCCTTTAATCTCTATGATGAGCTTTTGTTTCAGTTGCGAACCAATCAGAATGAAGGTGGGTAATGGCTTCGGACCGGAACACCCCCACCGCTGCACTGACCGTGGTGGGCACGGGACGCAGCCATGGCGGCAGGTGGCGGAGCTGCTGGTGGAGCAGCTGTCATGCCTCCCGCGGCCCTCATCATGCCTGGCAGCTTGATGGTCGGGTGTCCCTGCTGCTGCTGCCTGACCATGCCCAGCACACCGGGTGGCGCCCGCTGCTGCTGCTGGATGAGGCGCTGCTGCTCAAACAGCTTGGCCATCATGTCCACCTCTCCAGCGCCTCGCATAAGGCTGCCCGCAGCTGAGTACAGCACAGGAAAGAGAGGGAGGGTCACATGCAGGTTTGAACAACCGGCCTCGCTGCATTTAATGCAGCTCACCTAAACTTTACCTCAACACAAAGGGAAGCACTGTCACATAAGCAACAACGCCGCTGCACGTTGGTTTCCATCTCGAATAGCATACTACCTATACTGTGCGTGTATTTAGGTGTGCAAATATCGGCCAACTGTCTTAGCGACATGCGCTCTCCACAGCAAGTAAACGTACAAGGCATGGTGCAGACCGTGACCATAACATATCGTAATGTCGCCGAGCTGCGATACTGTATTTTTTTTTTCATTTTGGCCCACTTACAAGAAATGCCGATGCTGCAGAGGATGCAACATATAAATTAGAGTACAGCAGCACAGCACCATAATCATCAAGTGAAGGCAGTATGTTTTCACAAGGATGTAGCACCATTCCATGTATGGAGTACTGACTCGACTGGTGCAACACAAATGTGACACTGGTTCTATTACTTGAGGCAAGCAGGAGGTGAGCATACCCTGCTGCTGAGGTGGATGCTGCTGAATGAGCTTGGGGTTCTTCGAGTCTGACGAAGTTGGTGGCTGGGCAGCCTGGTTGCCTTTTATGATGGCCCTGCCAAGGGTGGGAGCACGAGGCACCGTGCCATTGTTAATTCGATGGTGCTGTTGCTGCTGTCTGGTAGTGCCATCGCTTGGTGTGGCTTCCCCATTAGCTTTGGAGCCGCCTTTGTCAGAGGCTGCACAGTGCACAGAAAACAGCGTGAACAAGCACTTCACATGAGAAGACATGCGCCAATACACTCAAACCTCTATATAATGAACCCAGATATAGCGAAGTATCAGTTATAACAAAGCAAATGAGAAATATTCTTCAAATAAATAGTCTTAGCAATACACCTTTATAACTAATCTTCAGATACGAAGAACTTATTTTCATGTAAGATGCAACTTCATTATAATGAGGTTTGACTGTACCAAGTGTACTAGAAGCTAACGAGAACATGCAAGATAGAACAGCACTGCCTTATCACCCTCCTCTTATGAGGACCCTGGTACAACAACTTCTGTTGAGGACCCTGGTACAACAACTTCTGTTGAGGACCCTGGTACAACAACTTCTGTTGAGGACCCTGGTACAACAACTTCTGTTGAGGACCCTGTACACAACTTCTGTTGAGGACCCTGGTACAACAACTTCTGTTGAGGACCCTGGTACAACAACTTCTGTTGAGGACCCTGGTACAACAACTTCTGTTGAGGACCCTGGTACAACAACTTCTGTTGAGGACCCTGGTACAACAACTTCTGTTGAGGACCCTGTACAACAACTTCTGTTGAGGACCCTGTACAACAACTTCTGTTGAGGACCCTGTACAACAACTTCTGTTGAAGACCCTGTACAACAACTTCTGTTGAGGACCCTGTACAACAACTTCTGTTGAGGACCCTGTACAACAACTTCTGTTGAGGACCCGTAAATTCTGTTGAGGACCCTGTACAACAACTTCTGTTGAGGACCCTGTACAGCAACTTCTGTTGAGGACCCTGTACAACAACTTCTGTTGAGGACCCTGTACAACAACTTCTGTTGAGGACCCTGTACAACAACTTCTGTTGAGGACCCTGTACAACAACTTCTGTTGAGGACCCTGTACAACAACTTCTGTTGAGGACCCTGTACAACAACTTCTGTTGAGGACCCTATACAACAACTTCTGTTGAGGACCCTATACACAACTTGTTTGCATAAAAAAAAAGCGCAGGCACATTTAAAACAGCATCTTGCACGAACATGTATGTACCGATACAGTTTATGCAAGCCCCAGAAAGCTAGCAACAAAATTTCTCACTAGATGATTTTTGCTACTGCTGCCAAAAAAACCACAACCAAAAAAACGCTTACCATTGATTTATTGATATGTGGGGTTTAACGTCCCAAAACCACCATATGATTATGAGAGACAATGTAGTGGAAGGCTCTGAAAATTTTGACCACCTGGGGTTCTTTAACGTGCACACAAATCTGAGCACAAGGGCCTACAACATTTCCGCCTCCATCGCAAATGCAGCCGCCACAGCCGGGAAAAAAAAAACACTTCTGAAGCACTCCTACAGTTGTGCAAGCTATTGCATTTTTCTACTCCTGTAAGCCTTTCAATATCTGCTGTTCCCAACCACTATAATGCTTACAATGCCCAAGGCCAGTTTTGCGTACGCAATACCTCAATACGGCATGAAGAAGCTTACAGGAACATTGCCCATCCGTGAAAATGAAATCGCGCATATTTCCGGCAATTGGGCCTACCACCACACACTCAATCTAGAATGCCTACATGCGCTACTGGCCCTAGCTTAAAACTGCACCCCGCACAGTACTCTACAAAAGAAATATGCACACACCTTTCGGGTCTTGACGCTCCATGTGCATTTTGCGCATCACTGATGTTGGTGTGAACGCCGCCATAGTGGGACTCAGGCCCTTGGATGGCGATGATCCCCTGTTCATGGCAGAGCCTTGTGTTGCGGTCGGCGAACGAGTCCTGCAATCCAGAGCACAAGAACCCGCTTGTCAGTGCACGGTCACGTGCAGCACAAGGAATCTGAATGCTAGACAGTTTACCCCAAGAAACTTGAGTAAATTAGTCGTGTATAGGGTAGAGGCTGTAATAACTCTGCTGAAGGCATGTATTTCGCTCTAGCCCTGAATGAGTCTTTTGTGAACCTTATAATTTAGAAAGCTTGTACACTGAAACCTCCCAACGAAATTGCACCTTACAGCAAAATAATTGTTATATCTGAAAATTCGTTAAGATATTTTTCTGACACTATATTTGCAGCACTATATTCTAATACTATATTGCAAGACCATTCTTAATCTATTTCGTTATATCTGGGTTGATCGATATGTAAGGTTTAAACGTCCCCAAAACCACATTACAATTATGAGAGACGCCGTAGTGGAGGGCTCCGGAAATTTCGACACCTGCGGTTCTTTAACGTTCACCCAAATCTGAGCACACGGGCCTACAAAATTTCCACCTCCATCAGAAATGCAGCAGCCGCAGCTGGGATTCTATCCTGCGACATGCAGGTCAGCAGCAGAGTACCTTAGCCACTAGACCACCACGACGGGGCAATATATCCGGGTTTTTCACATGAAGTTTTGAGTGAACAACTGCCTTGTGACCATATCACAACGAACAAAATACTTCTGTGCAGAGCGAGACACTCTTCACAAAGCCAACAGTAAACTCAAACACGTGCAAGTGTAGACAAGGTACCGTATTTACATGAGTGTAGGTTAACCTATATAGTCTTACTTCTAATGTTGAAGTTTGAAGGTGTCGACCTAGAATCAAAACTTGTTTCAGTTTTTAAGATCTTCTGAAAATGGTCCCCGCCTATCTAGCTTTCCTGCACAGCTTTCAAGCACTGCCGTGAAGCCACCTCGGCACACCAGAATTTGAATTAATTTTTTTTTCAAAACATCCTAAGTAAATTAAAAAAAAAAATGTCTATCAGGGGGAGGGGGGTCGACTTACATTCGAGTAGACTTACAATCGTGTAACTACGGTATTTTGCGAGGATAGTTCAGTGGTTCTGGCACCTATTTTCATTGAGTGTGCCACCTCTTCTGACAGGGCGGTACTTGAATTGCCTTCTCTGCACCAATATTGAGTAATTTGGCCCAAGTTATTCCATTTTTTTTAAGCCTCCTAGATTAAATTTTTACCATGAAAGGTGTTCAATGCTGCAGTAAGTGACATTTTGCTACATGTGTAGTATTAGGGAATAATAAGTGTCGAGGTTTAACGTCTCAAAACCATAATACAGCCGAACCCCTCTATAGGAGACACAGATGTAAGAGACAAGTGGGTACAAGAGACACCGTTGTGCATGCATCAAAATCTGGCTTGATAAGAAAATGCATAGGTGATGCTCTGCTCACAAGACACACCAAAAATAAGGGCCAAGTATTGTTCCCCAGTGCATGTCTCTTATGAAGCGATTCAGCTGTATTAGAAGAAACACTAATTTATTTATTTATTTAACAAAACCCTCACAGCCAGAGGCATTGAAGAGGGGAGTGGTTACAATAAACAATGTACAACAAAAAAGCAGATAAATGGTTTTAGTACACAAGCTTCTAAATGTGCAGTTTTAGCTAGTCGTATTAAGGACAATTATAATGTTCTCAGACTGCTGATGATGATTTAGAAGACGTGCGAAAGATACAGGCATGTACGTAAAAATGTAGTCATGAATAATGAAATGCATGGAAGGCTCTAAAAATTTCAACTACTTGAAATTCTTTAGCATGCACCTAAGTCTTAAGTAAACAAACCTAAAGCATTTTTGCCTCTCTAAAATGCAGAAACTTGATACCATGACCTTGGGGTCAGCAGTCTGGAATACACCGAAACAGCGATATAACAAACCCGGATATAACGACATATCGGATATAGAGAAGTACCGTAATTACTCGAATCTAACGCGCACCTTTTTTTCGGTTAAGCAAGTTCACAAATCGCATGCGCGTTAGAATCGAGTACGGAAAAAAAAATACGTTCAATCTATTGCCATCGGCAAATCCAAAATGGCCGCCCCCTACGTGCGTCGGCATGGCGCGTCAGCCATTTCTGCCTATGTGTTTGCCATGTGCGGCACTTCGTACGTGTGCTGAGGAGTTCGTCATCTAGTAGTGCATTAGCATCGACGGCGTGGAAGGGCCGACTCCAAAAACTTGAGTGCACCACGGTGCCGCTTTTAAAAGAAAAACCATCGCGTGTGCGGAAACTGACGGAAATCGGGCCGCATCGCGGTCGTTTGGAGTTCCCGAAACGTGCGTGCGGGATCGGCGGAAACAAAAGCAGAAAATTGTCGACAGCAAAGCTTCACGCAAAGGCTTCAGTGGACCACAGCAGGGTCGGTTTCCGCAAATTAAAGAGCTGCTCGGCGAGTATGTGCTTGAGCAGCGAGCGGCCCGTGACAACAGAACTGCTCCAAGTGCGGGCTATGCAATTAGTCTTAGAAAAAGGTCTAATGTGGAGCCAGTTTAAAGCGAGCAGGTGCTGGCTAACTAACTTTATGAAGAGGAAAGGCTTTTCCCTCTGAAGGGGAACATGCATATGCGAAAAGTTTTGCGGAGGAGTACGATGAAAAGCTTCACAGTTTTCAGAGGTTCGTCCTAAACTTGCGGCGCAACAACGGCTACCTGCTTGGGCAAATCGGGAATGCCGATCAGACGCCTCTTTACTTCGACATGCCTGGCACCACAACCGTCGAAAAGAAGGGGGCGAAGCAAGTTCGCGTGCTGACATTGGTCCACGGTATAACTACAGTGACGGCAATGCTCTGTTACACGTCAGATGGGCACAAGCTTCGCCCATACCTCATATTTAAATGGAAGACGCTCCCGAAAGGAGTCGTTTTTTCGAGTGATGTGATCGTGCGGGCCAGCGAGAAAAATGGGTGCGCGTTGCAATCGATGTCTTACGGTTTTTTTTTTTTTTCGCGGTGGAAATCGGGTGCGCGTTACAATCGAGGGCGCGGTAGAATCGAGTAAATACGGTAATGAAAATGGTCTTGCAATAGATACGGTGTTAAGAATACACATTTATAACAAGTTTTTGGATATAACAAACTTGTTTTAGTGTAAGATGCAGCTTCATAACAATGAAGTTTGAGTGTAATGGTCATTAGACCACCATGGTGGGCCAGGAGCAATAAAAAAGAACTTCAGTGAAATATATAAAGAAATATGCACCACAGAAATATATTCACGGTTATGCATTGTGGAAGCATACATGAACAAATGCAAATACAAATTATATGACTGTGCTCCAGACAGCATGCTTGGAAAAGAATTGCTTCTCTAACTATACCCTCGTTACAGATAACGTTTGAATACAGTGCGCGAATTGCTTTAAGGCTTATTCAAAGCATCTATTGAATGCTTACATTCAACTGCCCACCCGCAGGTTTGCGATCACCCTTAAAAGGGGCAGTGGGGAAAAATAGCGGCTGAATACGCGGCGATTTACTTACGCGGCGACTGGCTGCAGTGCTGACCTGAAGAGCAAAATTTGGGCACGGTTATTTACAACAAAGTTCAAAGTATCCCCAGCACACCTCATCTCTACACAAAAATACAATGAAAGTCAAAAGTAAAATTAAGTGAAGCACTGAAAAAATAACTTGCACGTACGAATGTCTTGTTCACAAGGGTACTGACTGACTGCTGCTAAGCAAAAAATTTTGCATACATATATATAAAATTGTGGTCTCTTATGGCCTAGCCCATATGCTGCATTATCAGTTTTGGCAATGAATTCTGTGCTAGGTGTCCATGCTGAAGAGTGATGGAGCACAAAATCTTGGTAAAGACGAGAAACGGACAGAAAAACAAATTTAAGCAATTAACTGATGCCAAATTTACACAAACCGTGCTCAAGTTGTTTTACATTATTGAAGTATTTTTGTGGTACCACGAGAAACGTATTAGGCTGGTCCTCGTGCAGTCAAATGTAACAATGGTTTACTCTAGGCTTGCGAGAATATTAGAATGCTTCGAATATTTTAACGAATAGCATATTTACTCGCATAATTTGTGCCCTCAAACAATTTGCGCACCCCTTATATTTGTCAGCTTTACTAAAAAAATTTCCTCGCACACTTTGCACTCCTCAACCCCCTCGAGCCAGCACACTGGCATGCGCACCTTGTTGAGAAAGCGAGAGCAGTCAAATGGGCTGCAAATGTGAAGTCCCTTCTGAGAGTTTCCCATAACTATGGACCCTAGAACTGTGCAACTAAATGCTCAAATTTGTAAACAGGTCACCGAAACTGCTCGAGCGTTTGCCTTCCTCTATCTCCCAATCTCTACGAATGCGAGAATGCACGCTCGCGTCAGGGCACGGACAACTTTCTGCAGCGGAGGCGTGCAAGGGTCAGTCGCACCAACTGTTCCCCTTGTTCTCTGTCCGAGCAGCAACGCACAGTTGGCCGATTTCTGAAGCTTAGGCTTCACCGTCTGGCCGATGAGTTTACAGTTCTCTTGCGATGGGCTGCAGTAATTCTATATGCAACAAAATTCAAGCTCGCCATTATAAAGTTCGCCAAAGAAAACAGGAACCGTGCCACCGCAAAGCGCTCCAGAGTGAAGTTCTTTACCGTGTAACGGTGCTTGCTTGCAAATACAAGTTTTGTGCCCTTTAAGACCTTTTCAGTTTCGTGTGAACGCTTAGGTCCTCCGGTATCATGTCGTGGGACCTAGTTCCTGCCAGCATAGCCGAGAAGAGCTTCAAGAAATAAAATGGGATATTCGAATGCGCTCGACGAAAGCAAGGACGATGCACTTTGCCGCTACGATTCCCAGTCAAACCTCTCGATCAGCGATTCCAACTAGAACGCACCTGACCAGATCCGACTCTTTAAAGTGTGTGATAATTCTGCTAAATCAACAAAAGCACTTCATATTTCTGCCAATTAATCTTTTTAATGTATATACTGTGTGCATTAGCACTACTGCATATTTCGTATGAATTCGCGAAATTCCCACGCGATTTGCGCACCTTGTCCTCGGAGTGCCAAAATTGAAAAAAAGTGTAAATTATGTGAGTAAATGCGGTGGGTGTTTATCAGTCCACGTGTAATTGCCTGTTAAGGTGGTTTGCCAGCTGTGAAGCAGTTTTAAGCCACGAAAGAACTTAAATGTATATTAGCATATAACCTTTGTAAAGGCAATTTCACTGCAGTGGAGGGGTGCTAAACAGTGAAAACACCTACCCAAAAAAAATTCTCACTGCCGCAAAGCCCCATTTCAAGTTTAAATGAAGATATTACCTTTACATCGATTCATAATTCTTCAAAGTTTAAAAGCTTGTTATACTGACTTATATGATCTTAATAAATTTTAAAATGAAACGTTTTACTGGTTCACAGCTGCATTCAACTGAAAAAAAATACTGCTCATATTCAAAGTTGCTTTGAATTCCCATGAACCCAAAAAATAGCCTTTGCGCAGGTCTTGCTTCAACTTTCAAAACATTGTGCAGGTTGTTAGGCCATCACTAGGCTTGTGCCAATATTTTAATGAATCATGCAGTATTCAAATTCACTTCTAACAGAATATAAATTATTGAAAATTTCGAATGATTCGAAATAAACAAATAAATATTAATTTGCATGTAACACCCGGTGAAGGTGGTTTCACTGCAGTGTAGGAGTGCTAAGCCATGAAAACATTCAGAATCAGTCCACGCTGCCGCAAAGCCCCACTTCAACGTTAAGGGGGCAGACTTGTCTCTGGGACCAAAAAGTGACAAAGAAATTCATTTTTTTGTAATTGACATGTTTGGTTTCTACAAGTATTTTTCTATCTTCAAATTTTCACACACCAGGAAGTGGTAATTTTTTTAATGTCATTTTAACAGTCCAGATTCTTGGTGCTGTTAACATGCAGAACCTGCAAAAAAATGGGCAACCGACTTCGAGGCTTCTTTACAATTTGCCGGCACCTGTGCTAGCTCTACTACGAATTTATGAGCACCTTTATAAGGATGCAAAACATGCACACCATGATTGTTGCTTTTTGAGGAAGCTGTGAGTTTTCAGTTTTTCACATTTTTCTCAAAAAAGTAAATTTACGACTCTTCAATTTTGAGGCCTCAATATCTATGCAGCTAGGGCAGGTACAAAATTCTTTTTGCAATGAAAACCTGTATGTGTGTAGAATGCATATATGGGGGCAGAATTCAGAGCACAAGCCTTTAATTATATACTAATGAAAATTGTAACACAATTTCAGCTGCTTTTGAATATGGATAGGTCATTTTGCTGTAAAATAACCAAGAAAGGCCTAAAAAAAAACTCTTGCATACTTTCAATCCACAGTCAGTCTATGTTGGCGTATCTTAAATATCCCTTTTCATTAAGCACTTTTTTCAATGGTGGCCTTAAACAATTGGCGGTGAACTCAAGTTATCTCAGGAACAAGATGAGTGACAGAAAAACGTGATAAATATTTGAAATCAACAGAAAAAACTGCACAAGCCCATGCAGTTTGATCAAGATCACTGATGAAATAAAAAAAAAATGTCCAAGACCAGTCTGCCACCTTAAATGAAGGTATCTTCACATCGGTTATTTAATTAAGTTTAAAATCTTGTTATACCAGCTCATATGCTATAAGTAGAGCAAATCTTAAATGTAACATTTCACATGCTATTGCTTGCATTCTAGAGCATGTCAAATCCTAAAATTCCAAGTTGTTTCCACTTACTTTTTGATGCAAGAAAAAAAAAATGCCACTTGAACAGGCCTCGTTTCAATTTTAAAGAATAGTATTGTGCAGGTCATGACTATTGTGCAGGTCATGACTATTGTGCAGGTCATCGTTCTTTATAATATACATACATTTCGAATTAGATTTGAAATCATTAGATCAATATCACTATTCACTTTAAACTTAAAATTCACTAATCTCACAAGTCTAGTCGTGACAAATATGTCAATTTTTCTTTGTATGTCATACTATTAGAATTCAACATTAAACTTCCCGACCATTATCACTATTCACTTCGAACCTAACATTCACTATTCCCACAAGCCTAATTTTCACAGATGTAACAGTGGCAAACTTCCTCCGGGTACGGGCAGAAAGCTTTGCCACGTTGCCAAGACTGTGTGCGTACAACGAGCGCCGCAGGTACTTACGCTGGAATGAAGATGGGTTGTCGGTGCGAGACAAAGGGTGCATGCAGGAACCACGCCAAGCGTCTAAGCACAACAATAGAGAGAGAGAGAGCCACACAGCATTGACACAGGAGGCCAGAAGCATGCGCAACAGAAGATAAGCATTCAGGTGAAGTAAGAGTGGGTGTTAGGCAAAGACATGACACAGACTAGCTTTGAACAAACAGCATATGCTCATCCCTTTCTTTAAACAGAGATTTATTGGAATAACATCAGTTGAGGCTGATTGCTCTAAGAACCATCACTGCTACCCTTTGCATCTCCACACGAAATAACTACGTTCAATGTCTACATTATGCAAGTTTTGCACCATAACTTCAATGTTGCAGATTTTGAATATTTTTCGTATTTTAACCCTTAACTCCAAAACCCTCAGAACACATCATAATCAACTGATAAAAGAATTATATAGGGGCCCTAGTAGATCCTGCCAGAAGTTAGGACTCCATGACCAACAGATGCAGGAACCCCCAAGGCGGAGTTGCCACTTGTGTAGCCCTGGGCAAATATTCAAGCGCTTAGAACATTTTAACAAATAATTGTGGATTTGCCTAATCTTCGTGCTTGCATGCTTTTAAACACACTTGTGGCTTTCGTTAATGTGGTCTGGTCTTGTTCCAAGAAAAAGAACCGACTGCTGTGAACTTTGCAAGCCTGCTTGAATTGGGGAGCCTGAAAAAGTTCAAGGTGGGGAAGTGTAACAGCTGAACCTTTGCTGAACTCTGATTTGTGGTAAAGCGGATTCACGCCACATGGAGCCAAAAGAACGATGATTAGACAAATCCATGTACTACCCATCATTTCCATACTGGCTAAAGCATTGTGCGTTGCAGCTTTCATAGACACTATCGCCAGAGTTCCCTCTAAGGTATCTATAGGAAACTATAATGCCAAGAAGCCACAGCTCAAGGTACACATTTCCCCTGTTGAAAATTGCTTGAAGTTTTAAAATGACAGATTTTGCTGCTTGTAACTTTCGTATTGCTCCTATCCTAATCCTGCTACTATTCTATGCTACTTTCACTTTAATAAGTTATATATGCGAAAGCCCGATTCTTAAAAATATAGTGGAAGTAGGCTGGGCCATTACAAAAATGCTTATTTTCTTTGAACACATGGTACATACCATTCAAACTATTCAATTCAGATTGTTCGATGAAATCACTATTAGCCTTAAATTCGCTTCTATTTCGAATTTGCTTCAAATTGCTACCATTTGCTCACACCTACACTTGTGTCTTGATCACATTTTCATGTTTACAAAGTTTTCTCTCAGAAAGAATGCAGTAACTGGTGTCATCAAAAGGCGTTTAGCTAACATGAGAGAAGTCTTTTCACTAGTGTCCTTTAAACAATGGCAGTCTTTCTGACATGCTCAATGCCTGCATCCAATCTTGAGAAACGTGAAAAACTATCTTCAGTAGTGCAAGTGGTGACATGCAATGCAAAATAGAGCAAACCGACTAATCTGGCAGCATGCTACCATTTTCGATGCGCAACGGGAAGCGACGTGCACTGGCCATACTTTTCATGCAGTTCAATTTTGCTTCCGAACACTAAACCGGGCTTGCACAAATTTTTAACATGACTACAACACCGACCATGGTGCAACCTGCTACTGCTTTATATTTGAAAAAATACACAATGTGCAACATTTTTATTTTTGTCTGTCCTCGAGCTCGTACTACTTTTGCTGCCATCCTGAATACATGAAACGTGCAGTGAAACCTCTGTCACAAATTTCATGTTGAAATATTCATATCAATCACTCGAAACTTGTGTCAAAAAGAACCCAACATCAAGCAAAAAAATTGTAATTATGTAAGAAAATTCCTATGTTCACTCATTTTCTTTGTGTCCAATCGTCAACGATCACATTACCCATCAAAAAAATGCACAGATTACCTCACAAAGTTTTTGCATGCCTCAGTAGGTCACATGCACATAACATTTTGGCAGTCATTGCTACAGCATACATAGTTAAATTCCTTTGGCAAGTGAGGGAGACTGTCACATGGAGACAGTGGTACTGCTTAGAGAATATTTGCAACACTAGCTCTGGGACTTGGATTGATTTGCGCCTGAGGGACAGCATTGGCAAACACAAACAGATAAAGCATCAAGTATAGAAAAAGAGGGGACGCACCTCTGGGCCTCCTGTTGCTTGCGCAGGTTCTCTTTCTGCTTTTGGTCCTCGAGAATCTTCTTGAGCAGGGCTGTCTGCAGGATGGACTGAGTGTGCACTGCCAGCTCTTGCGGGGACGGCACACGAGGACGCAGACCCGCGCTCTGCATAATGGAACACAGTCGCACGTGCTCAAAAACTGAACGCTCGAGACCGAATGCCATGCATTCTGAATGCTTGGCTCAGCTCAGTAGCACGAGCACAGGAGTAGTGACAAAGTATCGCAAAAAATCTGTGGATGAGAACATCGAGAACCTAAAACACGCCTGCGACACTGCTGAACCCCTTTGTAAGAGAGAGTTAGGTATAATAGAGACAGGTGTGACTATGTTCAAACTGGGGTTGATAAGAAAATGCATACCGTATTTGCTCAAACCTAGGCTATAGGTTTGAGCAAATAGGTCCTATAGGCCCCTCCAGGTCCTATAGGTCTTATAGGCCCTTCCAGCGACGAACATTCTTTTCGTCCACCCCAAAGCCCCACTCGGCTTGAACGTTGAAGGACGAATCCATGGCTAGAACAACTTTTCTATTATATGCAACATTACAATGGCATCGCCTGTTTGGGGCCATTGAGCTAAGCCACACACAGCCCACTCGAAGCGAGACTCAAACTACGGCTTGCCTCACCACTCGCCACAAAGATAAAAATGGCGGCCTCGTGTGTGTACTTCAGCCAAGTGTTGGCTCGGCTACTAAAGGGCACAATGCCCTTTAAGTGGCGCTAGTTGTGCACCATTTTCCATGATAAAAAGGAGAGTTTTTCAAAACCCTCGAATCTAAGCTGACCCTGGAGTTCGATACGAAGAAATTCAGAAAAAACTATCGGCCTACATTGGAGTAAATACGGTACATGGTACCCTGCTTTATAAGAGACACCTCATAAAAAGACAAAAATAGCACCCCAGGGAGTGTCTCTTGTGAAGGAGTTCAACTGTAGTATGCCTTCTATAGCCAATATAGATTGAGTTTTCTATTGGGGGATCGATAAACATGGTTCCCTTTCGATTTCTCAGTATTATCTAAATCAAGCTTTCCTCCTTTTGTTTTGATGTTTGGTGTATACTTACGCAGTACCCAAACAGCATAGTTTCAGTTGTGAACTCAGTGACTGTGCCTTGTGCTAATTTTCTCAGTCCTCGCGAAATGTGCACTGCTTTTGTCGCAATGTAATTTAATTAGGCTACATGGTCCATGTTCAGCTTGTTCTTGATCAAAAGACAACACTAACAACACAGACGAACACAGTGAATACAATCTTGTCATCTAACGAACTCCACTCTTGTTTTCATTGCAAGAAGAAACTGAATGTCTGAAAGATGTTTGCAAGCAAATTGAACTTGCAATAACACCAAAAATGGGACCAAACTGAGAAATTCACTGATGTATCTCAGTACCACACACACATGGAAAATATCATATTGAATGCATTTATTCTGCTGGTATCTTCCAACATGTCAATGCAATTGCATAGCACCGATACAATTGCAATGTATTTCCCCAGCCCTATACTGATGCGATGGACCTTTTTTTAACACTCTCTTGATACTAAGAATTAGGTGAATTCAGACATTTTTGTCAGTACCTTGATATCTGAATTAATGGTTAACAAATACAATAAATTTTCGAACTCACATGAACTTGCAGAGTGTTTGAAGACTGCAGTGGAGCACCAGGAGTGGGCCCTGCCACAGGAGGAATGGGCGACGGGTGCTGGCCAAACACTGCAATGTTAACGAACAACATTTTTCGTCAGATGACCAAGTGTTTACAATCCAACACCATTTTAAGACATAATTTCAAAGGAGAGATAGCGAACGAGATATCAAGGGCAAATACCATATAGCCAAGAACATATTTAAAATCAATCTGAAGTGCACGCCGGGTGACTGAGTGAGATGCGGAGCCCCTCACGACGACATCAACGTTGGGACAATGTAAACAAACCTACATCAAGAGTGCAATGAGTGGCTGCTAGTATGTGCCATATGCTTGCACTACCAGAGATTTCTTCCTCAGTGTTTGTGGCATCGCGTGTGCTGGCTGTGCTATTTATCAGTGCCCACGTTTGCGTGGTCACGTGGCCAGGTGTGTTTACCTAGCACCAAGAACTGCTCCCGCCTAGCCCCAAGCTCTCTGAAACAAACCGAGACTGGGCATACTAAAGACGTCTAAATAAAGCTACCTATTGCGAAAAAAAAGTACAAAGTTTTTGTGTCAGTACTCCTTTAATTTCGAAGTTGTTAGGATTCCGAACAAGTCAAAAACGGACCTTTACTGTTGATTTTGAATTCTATGCCGCCTTACTGAAAACTGGGCAGAGTGAAACTGTTGTACACAGTGCACCATGTACAGGAGGGGGGGGGGGGGGGGGGTCAAACATTCCCAGGCCACACACTCATAGGAATACATAGAATAGTGACCTGGGAACTTCTGACCCCCTCCCCCCCCCAACCTGAACATTGTAAGTGCAATTTATTAGAGAGCTCTTTCACTGGAGCTCAGCTTGACTTCATTATTATTACAGTCATATCCAAGTTTGGATAGCCAAGGTTCTACAAGACTAACCTCGATATAAGAAAGCTGTGTAGTCAACTACTTGTATTTAAATCTTCACGCTCCAGCATTAAAGAAAGCACTATAGCTTCCCAGGTTATCCACAATGATATTTCGCACAATAGTCACACCACAAACGCAGCATACTTTCTTAAAGAGAATGACCTCCCAGTTCAGGGCGCATCAGTGTTCCAATAAGACAACAAACCCAGCTGAATCGTCAACAACGAAGCAAAACATGGCAACAACATTTTCCATTGCTTGCAGCTCACAGAAGCATAATCTTCGAGACTGGAAATCATTAAACAGAAGAAAGTAAGGGCACGTACAAGAGACTTCCGCCTCAACAGGATTTTTAACACGACTGTGTTTGATGTCAAGCTCCATCAGGAATTGCACCAATACGGTAATGTTTGTATTTTTGCGTGTGTGTAAATTGCTTTTGTACTTGAAGATCTTATATTCACAGTATTTTATAAGGGCACGTGTTCGTAATGCAAATTTCTTTTACATTATGTTTATTTTGTACAGAATAGTACTGATGTTTCATGAATTTCATCCGAATAAAATTTCCTTTTCCCATAATTTGTTACAATATTCGGAATAAGTGTTGTTTAAAATTATTGCATTTACTCGCGTATTGAACCCACTCGCATAATGAACCCATCCCTCACCTTGGTCCTTTGAAAAAAAAAATTTTAAATTTATCTGTTCATTTCATTTCGGTATGATAGCGAGCGTGATTCACCATCAAAACATTACATCATACAGTCGAGCCCACATATAACGGCCCCATTTAAGAAGAACTTTTGCTTAAAACGAACAATTTCCGCGTAACCGCGAAAATATACATTGTTTCAATGACACAAAATCGCACTTACAATAAAAGTCTCCAAGCGTTGCCGATCGGTTACAACGAACGGAGCCGGCGCTCTGCCGACCTCCCGGAAAACCACTTTCGACTACCGATCAGGCATCGGAGAGGTGCCCATAAATTCTTATTGTGAAACGTCGACCCTGCTGTAGAACCCCTTTAGTTGCCGCACTCCCCAACCGCTTATTGTTACGCACCCTTCCGTCCTTTGTCCCCCCGCAACTCTGAGCGCCCCGTTTCACCAGACGGGGCCTGTGTTTTCACACTGTCACCAATCTTTCGCAGAACGGTCGGCCATCTTCTCCGTTTTTAATCGCTGGTGCTGTCGTTGGCGTCGCCGGCCTGGAGTGACCTGGCCATTTGCCAGCATTGTATCCGATCGTCCGAGTTTTCTCTTATCGTATCATTCTAGTGCATGCACGTACACTACCCCTCCCACTCTGATAATTCGCGAGTCGTTTCGTGTTTAGGAATTATTCTCGCTCACTTTGCACCCGGCTCAACATGCCCTGCGCATGCATGCGGAAGTGTAAAAACGCCTGCTGATTTGCGTGAAACGAATCGCGAAATATTGACGTTGGTGACGCCACGCAGACCTGGTGGCACAACAAAACGATTCTTTGACCACGGCCGCCAATTCTTTGAACACCTGCTTCGCGCGCCGATACAGGCGGCCGTGCTTAGACCTCTGTGCGTGCAGGCCCTTTTTCAATTTTTTTTCTACGCAAGAGTTATGTGTATCGCAGATCTTTCAAGCAAGCTACCCGGGTGTTTTAGGTTTTCCAGGTCGTCTTCCCGCCGTATCCTCCCCTCTCCACTATCGCAACTCGTAGCCCATCTCTCGGCCCTCCTCTCTTGATCACAACTCCTTCGCCTGTCTCCACAGCTCTGCGACGCCAGCCACGCTGGCTCGAATTCAGAAGCTTTGATTTCTGATTAGAAAAGAGCCCAGAGCTGTACCACACGTTCTGGCATGTGTGCCGTGTGTGCGCATGTGGTCAGGATGGCGGACGAGAGGCTTCGCACGCTTTTTCCTGCCACTCAACAAAATGTCGAAAGTGTGCCCGCTTGGCTTGGGCCTAATCCCACCGTTAAATGCCACATCGCAGAGTGCTTGCTAATAACTGTTGACCACCTGGCAGCCAACTTGCTGCTTCGGACGTCCCAGTACTCAGCTGTGGAGATGGTGAATATTTCGTGGGCAGCGGTGATGGCTACATGCACGTGAAACTGTTTTCGCGACACCGACTTTGCTAACGTCGCGCCCGAAGACGAGCCTGAAGCTTCCGAACAGGACCACTGCGGCGGCAATTTGTGGCACCGTGTCGTCGACTCCGACACAGGAGAGCGGGTGGGACATCTGTTGCGATGGTTTCACTACGGCCGATGACTATGCCGACACCGCGGAACCGTGCACGAATTAGGGCATTGGGAATGAAGTATGCGGCAAGAGTGTTTTTGGAAGAATCGGATTGCGAGCGACAAAACTTTGGAGCCAGTGCCACACGCAGCTTATGCCACGGGCCTTGGCGAAGAGAACGCTGCCGTTTGAAATAAACTCGAGACCATCCTTATCGCTTCTGCTCTTCAAGACACGTGCATCATGGAGATTTTTGAGCAAAAAACTTTTTTTCACTCGCAACTTTTTTAAAAGCTCAGTTTCACTTACCGTAATTACTCGAATCTAACGCCCACCGTTTTTCCGGTTAAGCGAGTTCATAAATCGCATGCGCGTTAGAATCGAGTACGAAAAAAAAAATTACGGTCAATCTCCTGCCATCGGCAATTCCAAAATGGCCGCCCCCTACGTGCGTCGGCATGGCGCGTCGGCCATTTCTGCCTATGTGTTTCCCATGTGCGGCACTTCGTACGTGTGCTGAGGAGTTCCGTCATCTAGTAGTGCATTAGCATCGACGGCATGGAAGGGCCGACTCCAAAAACTCGAGTGCACCACGATGCCGCTTTTAAAACAAAAGTCATCGCGTTGTGCAGAAATGGACGGAAATCTGGCCGCATCGCGATCGTTCGGAGTTCCCGAAACGTGCGTGCGGACCGGCGGAAACAAAAGAAGATTGTCGACAGCAAAGCTTCACGCAACGGCTTCAGTGGACCACAGCAGGGTCGGTTTCCGCAAATTAAGAGCTGCTCATCGAGTATGTGCTTGAGCAGCAAGCGGCACAGCGGCCCGTGACGATAGAACTGCTCCAAGTGCGGGCTATGCAATTAGTCTTAGAAAAAGGTCTAATGCGGAGCCAGTTTAAAGTGAGCAGGTGCTGGCTAACTAACTTTATGAAGAGGAAAGGCTTTTCCCTCCGAAGGGAAACATGCATATGCGAAAACTTTTGCGGAAGAGTACGATGAAAAGCTTCAGTTTTCAGAGGTTCGTCCTAAACTTGCGGCGCAACAACGGCTACCTGCTTGGGCAAATCGGGAATGTCGATCAGACGCCTCTTTACTTCGACATGCCTGGCACCACAACCGTCGAGAAGAAGGAGGCGAAGCAAGTTCGCGTGTGACATCGGTCCACGGTAAAACTACAGCGACGGCAATGCTCTGTTACACGTCAGATGGGCACAAGCTTCGCCCGTACCTCATATTTAAATGGAAGACGCTCCCGAAAGGAATCGTTTTTTCGAGTGGTGTGATCGCGCAGGCCAGCGAGAAAAATGGGTGCGCGTTGCAATCGATGGCTTACGTTTTTTTTTTTTTTTTTGCGGTGGAAATCTGGTGCGCGTTACAATCGAGGGCGCGGTAGAATCGAGTAAATACGGTAGTGCAAACTTCGGGATACAGCGAACGAATGCCGGGTCAGGCTCAGGTTCGTTATAAGCGAGCTCGACTGTATCACAAAACAACAACGCAATAAAAGTCAAAACATAGTTTAACAACCATGCGAAGTAGTTGCGAGCAGCACGAGTGCAGGCGACTAATCAAAATTTGAAAATCGCGCCTTTTGCGGCAAAGCGCCATCTGTCAAATGGAAGAGAAACCTCTATGCTGATAGTGCCACGCAGCCACAGCTGCACAAAAAGCACGTGGCCTCCGAAATGGTGGACGCGCGGCATAGAAACACGCCGCACGCCTGCCATCCCGGAAACCATGCAAAGTGCAACCGCGACGATGGCGCGTCATGCACCCGCAACGTCTACCGAAACATTTGTGTGCTGCACCATCCAAATGCTGCGTTTCTGTTCTCGGGTTTGTCATTGTGAACTTTTTTGGGACACCTGCTGCACAGGGCGCCTTTGGCCATTACGCTAGCTACACAGGCGGGTTATGAACAGCATGCGCTGTAGCATGAAAACTGAGCAGGCTGAATGACACTTTGGCGTCGATTCGTGCACTTTCATTACTGGGAGGAAACATGGCTACAAAAAAGATTTATCCCGCCTTTCTCAGGCCAAAACAAGCAAAGCCGTCACGCAAAATTTTTGCTGTTATAACTCTAGCGACTTTTTTTCTTCCGTGTAATGAACCCTGCCCCCAAATTGGACGTCAACTTTTCTGATAAAAAATGTGGGTTCATTAGGCGAGTAAATACGGTAATACTGTTGGAAAGACGAATTCATGCCGCATCAATCGAATATCGAAATTTTGCATCAATCAATTTTAGTAGCAGAAAAAATATCGGGGTTTCACGTGCCAGAACCGCGATACAATACGAGGCACGCCGGAATGAAGTGTTCCGAAAATTTAAATCATCTGGAGTTCTTTAACGTGCACCGACACCGCACACCAGCCTCTAGCTTTCTTTACCCCTTCCATCGAGATATGACGGCCAAGGCTGGATCGAACCTTCGCAACCTTCGGGTCAGCAGCGAAGCAATGCAACTGCTACACAACCACCCTGGCCTTCAGTGGCAGGAAAAAGGTGAACTGGAGAGCCCACTGACTTCAATTGAATTCTTTTGATTCGAAATGAATTCTCTTTGACTTGAATTGAAAATTATTGAACGTTTCGAAGTATTTGAAGTGAACAAATAAATATACCAGTCAGCCGGTGGTTTCACTGCAGTAGAGGAGTGCTAAGCCGTGAAAGCCCTCTACCTAAATGCATATACCCTCTAGCAACTCAGATCTTTAGATCTTTTTAGGTTTAAAAGCTTGTAATACTGGCTTCTATGCTCAAGTATCATAAATTTGAAGGCATAACATATTTGACAGGTTATCACTTGCATTCTACCGAAAGTCAAATCCTGACACTATTCAAAACTGTTTACACTTCCTTTGATGCAGAAAGACATGGCATTTAGGACATGCCTCATATCAATTTTCAAATATACTGTGCAGGTTGGTTGGGTTATGACAGGTATGTACATTCTTTAAATATTATGCGATATATATACTATTCGAAGTAGATAAAAAAATTTTTTGACCAAGATCTCTGTTCACTTTTAATCTAAATGGTTCCCACAAGCCTAGTTAACTTGGAGCCACTTTTACAAGCCAACTTCCTTCGCATTCTCACCAAGAGGGGAGGGCACTCGACGAGGGTCCTGTGGGACACCTGGCAAGGGGGATGGGCATGGGGCCAGCAGCCCCAGCTGCTGAGTGGGCGATGGCCGCTGGGTGGTCACCACAGGTGATGCAGGTGGCTTCAGCAGGCTGTTCAGCATCTCCTGCTGCTGTTGCTGCCGAATCATGGCCTGCTGCAGCTGCAGCTGCGTGCACAGAAGAAACATGTCCGCCCATTGCACAGCCAGTTTCACAAAAAAAAAAAAAAAACACACTCCACAAATATACCTTATTCACATCATAGGCGCACTTTTTTACAGAAAATTCGGCTCCCCACCCATGTCTACGTATACCCCACCCATGTCTGCGATACAGCCGAAACAACCTTCATAGGCTACACTAGCGCATAACATGTTGAGCATGCAGTCTGGCGTTACGAGAATCTAAGCAGGCGATGCATTGACATTTTCGAGATTTAACATCGGAAGACCCGCATTGCAAACAAAATGAACGTGAAAAAAAAAAACGAAAAAGGAAAGAAAGAAGACACTATGGAAAGGAAGCGTCATTTCGGAAATTCACTGATTACATTTCAGGCCACATTGATTATCTGTGCGCTGGAAGGTACCAATCATTCGATTTCACGAGCTTATAACCCATTTACAAGACAATGCAGTCGTACCTCAAACCACCATTAACGTGTTACAAACGCCACCCAAACCCATTTCATTCAAGGAGAGCCACCAGAAAGAGTTACATTGATTCTGTACCGCCATCGAAAAGCACAAAACTGATTAAGCCTAGCCTATGATTCGGCATGTTGTCACGGGAAGTTTGTACAAAACATGAAGATTGGGCGTCTACGCATTAGAATGTTTAGGTTCGCAGCCAGGAAAGCGACGGTGACAGAAGTCAGTCAAGCTGGTGCAAGTCTGCGTAGTGGTAGCGAGGGCAAAAGTTCACGTAGGAAAGCAGAAAAGCTTTTAAATTTGCTGATGAGGTAGCAAAAACATTAAGAACGATGTTTTTTTCCAACAGGAAACAGCAGATTTGACAAGGACGTGATCACGCATTCCATACGAAGCATGCGTAGCCGGAGCTATGCCCGTGTTGGCGCAAAGGTCACTCCCACACCCAGGCAACCGCTCAAGAGCCCACGGAGCTGGCACAGCGCTGCTGTTCTTTTTCGTTTTCTTTTTCCTCACTTCAGTTAACGTAAGCGACCCGCTGGGGTGGTCCTAGTGGCTAAGGTACTCTGCTGCTGACCCCCAGGTCGCGTGATCGAATACCGGCCGTGGCCGCCATATTTTCGATGTAGGCGAAAAGGCTTGAGGCCCGTGTGCTTACATTTAAGGTGCCCGTTAAAGAAACCCAGGTGGTCGAAATTACCAGAGTCCCACTACGGAAGTCCCTTCCTAACTACATGGTGGTTTTGGGACGTTAAACCCCAAGAATAATCATTATTAAAGTAAGAGGGCTTCGAATTGCAACTGTGCAAATACAGAACAGAACTGGCACAGCGCTGATAAATCAAATCCTTGGTTCACTAAAAATCTTCGGAAAATGCAGAATAAGAAAAAGCGGCTATATAATGCAAAGTGCTCGGGCAGTTCTTGGCTCAAATATCAAACCTGCATGAAAGCATACTGCACTGCTTCAATTAAGGCTAAGGCAAAGTATTATTGCATTGATCTATCCACACTACTGAAAAACAACCGAGCTAAATTTTGGAAAATCGTCTAAACCAGGACATCTCATTACACGATTGTAACAACTTCAGTGTTTCAGCGAGCCAACGTCCAACAGCACTTAATTCCGTTTTCACTTTTGTCTTCGCGAAAGAGACTTAGCAGAGCTTGACTACCAATTCATGGAACCAATAGACATTCAGTTAGCCGACATAGTTACAACCATAAAGAACCTCAAGTTATCTTAGTCATGTGGTGTAGATAGAATCAATTCAAAGGTGCTGAAAAATGCAGTAATGGCCTCAAGCGAAATTCTACTTTATTCCAGCAGTCTTTCAAAACTGGCATAATACCGTCTGACTGGAAGTTGGCGAAAGTAAATACCAACATTTAAATGTGGCAATAAAACCTCATGCGAAAATCACCGTCCTATTTTGCTTACATGCATTTGTTGTAAAATGCTAGAACACATCGTTTCGCATATTTACAGACATCTGGAATCCAATAATTTCTTTTTAAAAAATCAACACTGTTTCCGAAAGCGTTTTTCGTGCGAGACTCAGCTGTTCGAATTAACCACAGATCTTCATGCAAATATGGATGATAATTATCAAACTAAATGCGTGTTCCTGGACTATCTGAAAGCTTTTGACTGCGTTGCACACTGTCGCCTGATATCGCAGCTTTCCGCCTTGAAGTTAGACTCCCATACAATATCATTGCTTCGGAATTTTCTACCTAATCATCAGCAGTACCCAACAGTCAACAATTTTTCTACTCTAACCGATGTTTCTTCAGGTGTACCACAAGGCAGCGTATTCGCACCATCACTTTTAATCATATTCATAAATGATCTTCCGCAGCGTGTCACTTCTTGCATCAGGCTATTCGCCGACGACTACATTATTTACCGTCCAATCAAAAACCTAAAGATTGTCTGTCGCTTCAGAATGACCTCGATGTAATTATTGGTTGGTGTAGTACATGGCTCATGACTAAATGTCTCAAAATGCTAAGTAATGTAATTCACACATAAATCTAGCAGATGCGAATTTTCATACAGCATTCATCAGTCAATTCTCTTGACTGCAACGCAATATCGGTACTCTGGCATTATACTTACACCTATATTGTAGTTCGACCTCATTAAAGCTAGCTCTGCCAACGCTTCCAGATCACCGTTTCTTAAGACGCAACTTGAAAGCTGCACCTTCAAGCATTCGCAAATTATCATACTTGACTCTGGTTCACCCTCAACTAGAATATGCCTGTTTGATTTGGTCTCCCCCTCAAAAATACTTAATTGATACATTGGAAAAAAATTCAGAAAAGGGCAACCCGCTTCATCGCCAATAACTACAGTCCCCATTCCAGTATATCGTACATAAAACAGGAACTTTCACTTCCGCTCTTGAGCATACAACACAGCCATTGCCCCCCCCCCCCCCCCCCCCAGATTCCATTCTTTCATAAAATCCCCACTCCTCCCAAATTACCATTACTGGTCTGCACAAACCATACCTCATGTAGATTGCACAATCACCCCAGCTATTCCCATATGTAGGGCTCTACAAATGCATTCAGCAAGTCTGCACTCTCACCTGCCATTATTCTCTGGAATAGTTGGCCTGATCACATTGCTGCCAAGACAAACTACGAAACATTCAGTCACATGTTATCGAGCCACTTCAGAAACTTCACAGAATAGATGCCTTTTCGTAGCGCAAGGATGAATTTTTAGACCTTCACCCTACACCATCATCAAAGCAACTTTCTGGTATGCTACGTGAAATGAGCTAGTTCTGACTGGCAGTTATCCCACATATCGCCAATTTTTTTTTTCTTCGCACAGGTAATTCACCCCGCTGTATTGCCGCTATGAAATATATCTTTTTATATTCATCGCCCATGGTATTACTTTTCATTTTTTAAATCATGAACTCATGTTTAGATTGTCGCAGCTGCGACAAGTACCGTAATTACTCGAATTTAACGCGCACCTTTTTTCCGGTTAAGCGAGTTCATAAATCGCATGCGCGTTAGAATCGAGTACGAACAAAAAAATTACGGTCAATCTATCGCCATCGGCAAATCCAAAATGGCCGCCCTCTACGTGCGTCGGCATAGCGCGTCGGCCATTTCTGCCTATGTGTTTCCCATGTGCGGCACTTCGTACGTGTGCTGCGAAGTTCGTCATCTAGTAGTGCATTTGAATCGACGGCGTGGATGGGCAGACTCCCAAAACTCGAGTGCACCACGATAAAAGAAAAGTCATCGCGTGTGCAGAAACGGACGTAAATCTGGTCTCATCGCGGTCGTTCGGAGTTCCCGAAACGTGCGTGCGGGACCGGCGGAAACAAAAGCAGAAGATTGTCGACAGCAAAGCTTCACGCAAAGGCTTCAGTGGACCACAGCAGGGTCGGTTTTCGCAAATTAAAGAGCTGCTCGGCGAGTATGTGCTTGAGCAGCGAGTCGCACAGCGGCCCGTGACGACAGAACTGCTCGAAGTGCGGGCTATGCAATTAGTCTTAGAAAAAAGGTCTAATGCAGAGCCAGTTTAAAGTGAGCAGGTGCTGGCTAACTTTATGAAGAGGAAAGGCTTTTCCCTCCGAAGGGGAACATGCATATGCGAAACGTTTTGCGGAGGAGTACGATGAAAAGCTTCACAGTTCTCAGAGGTTCGTCCTAAACTTGCGGCGCAACAACGGCTACCTGCTTGGGCAAATCAGGAATGCCGATCAGACGCCTCTTTACTTCGACATGCCTGGCACCAGAACCGTCAAGAAGGGGGCAAAGCAAGTTCGCCTGCTGAAATCGGTCCACGGTAAAACTACAGTGACGGCAATGGTCTGTTACACGTCAGATGGGCACAAGCTTCGCCCGTACCTCATATTTAAATGGAAGACGCTCCCGAAAGGAGTCGTTTTTTCGAGTGGTGTGATCGTGCGGGCCAGCGAGAGAAATGGGTGCGCGTTGCAATTAATGTCTTACGTTTTTTTTTTTTTCGCGGTGGAAATCGGGTGCGCGTTACAATCGAGGGCGCGGTAGAATCGAGTAAATACGGTAACCGCTCCGTTCTTGTGCTTTATAAACCCACCCTTTCACTTACCATTTGCATGCGTGTGTCATCTTTACATGTATATATTTAACTATAATGCTTTCTGTTTATTATACTGCAATGGTATCTTCTCTTATGTATTTTTGCCAACTCCATATGTAGTATATGTAAATGCATCTCGTACGTCGCCCCCCTTACTCAATGCCGTGTCGGCGTTCTGCCTCAACCCACGTTGCGACCGAAGGAGCTAAGTTCGCGTATTTGAAAAGCTTCAATGATATTAAGGATGACTGGAGCTTGATAGCGCACAAGAAGCAAGACAAGTTTACAGACTAAATAAAGTGCGGTAACCTGCAGTTTGCACCTTGTTTTTGAGCAAATCATTATCTTAGCTCATGTAACAATTTCAGAGGCCTGAAATTCTTTAATTGAGGCCTTAAGGGTGGACACGGGTATTAGAAGGCCAAAAATCGCAAAAAATCAACCTTTTGAAGCTGACATTTTCGGAATCTGTACGAATTTTCGCACCTATCTGACAAGTTTCTAGCTCCTCGCGTCATGATTTCTGGTGCAAAATCAATTTATAACATCCCTGTGAGATGAATGCGAGCGCAAAGTGACGCTAAAAACTAGCTTTTCGAACAGTTGCCGTTACACACGAGCTATCGTGTTCATCTTGGTCTCGTTTGGAAGGGTCGCTCTTCATCTTCAATTTCTCGTCACCGCTGGCTTGCCTTGCTCATAGGTTTTTCTGCAAAAACGCATAATCGAGAAGTACTAGCACCCGATTATATATACTGCTTGGGGCACGTGACAAAACCTAGGCATCCGACTGGCCAAGTGGCGTTTCCGGCGTCTGCTTCACCATCCGTAAGACGCACGGACATGGCCATTTTGTCATGGTGCTGCTCACTGCCTGCGGCAGTAAAGAAGTTCCGTGCCACAGCAATTTGTGAAGCGGGTCTGGCGATCGTTCGCTGTGAACTTCAGAAAGAGCCCCGCTATGGCTCAGGAACGAGGATTATGAACTCGCCGCGGTCAACAACGGTCGCCAAGTCCCCGGTGTAGGCCTAACTCGCGTACGAGCCCGTTGGTTGCCGACAATATTACAGCAAGTAAACAGCAGAAGTGAAGCTACAAGAGAGATCAATCTGTAGTGATGGAACGGAAGCGCAGTCTTATCGCTAAACGCAGTCTTATCGCTATCGCCATAGTCATGTTAAAACTATGTAATTCTAAGTACACACATTTTTACAGTTTAAAATGTTAGAATTCTTTGTTTTCTAGATTTTTCTCAAAATGGCGATTTTGTACACCCTGCATGAAAATTCCTGCAATATATCGAAAACTATTACAGATAGCAGAATTATTTTTTTTTTGCAGCATGAAGCTATATGTTTGGAGCACACAACATAGGAAGCAGATTTTCATTTCTCTTCATGCAAGTTTTTTAAATTAGTCTTGTGTGACCACACAATGGCCACATTCAGAACTATGAAGTTTATTGTACTGTAATGTAAAAAATAATGGCCCAATCAAAAAAGTGCCTCCCATGTTGTGTAGCTTGTGCTTTCTAGTGTTGATCCCTATGCTATCTGTAAATTTCGGTCTCGTGGTTATTTTTCTACTGTAGTAGGAACAATAGGTATTGTTATCCTAATTAAATAATGAACTAATGAAGCTACAGAAAAAAATTGCTACATATTTAGAATCTGCAGAATAAACTGAGTAAGCATGCCAACTTTTGTCACATTTGGTTCAAAAGTAAATTAGAGAACCCTAAGGCCCATGTGCCCCTTTAAATATGCATACAGTCGAGCACGCTTATAACGAACCTGCACCTGACGCGACATTCGTTCGCTGTATCCCGAAGTTCGTAGTAAATGAAACCCAGCTCTTTAAAAAGTTGCGTGTGAAAACACAATTTTTGCCCGAAAAAGTCCGTGCTGCAAGTGTTTCGAAACGCAGAAGCGATAAGGTCTCGAGTTCATTGCAAACGGCAACGTGCTCGCTCGCTGAGGCCCATGGCATAAGCTGCATGAGGCACCGACTCCAAAGTTTACACATTCTCGCAATACAATTCCTCCAAATCGCTCTTGCCGCGTAACTTCAGTCTCAATGCCTTAATTCGTGCACGGTTCTGCGGTGTCCCCATCATCGGCTATAATGAAACCATCGCAGTAGACGTCCCACCCGCTCTTTTATTTCGGAGTCGACGGCGCGCTGCCACAAATCGCTGTTGCAGTGGTTCTGTTCGGAAGCTTCAGGCTCGGCATCCGGCCAGACCTCGACGAAGTCGGCCTCGCGAAAATAGTTTCGCGTGCATGTAGCCGTCACCACCTCCAATGAAATATTCAGGCATCTCCACAGCTCAACACCGGGACGCCCGAAGCGGCAAGTTGGCTGCCAGGCGGTCAACAGCTATGAGCAAACGCTCCGCAATGCGGCACCTAACGCGCAGATTACGCTCAAGCCAAGCAGTCACACTTTCGACGTTTTGTTGAGCGGCAGGAAAAAGCGTGCAAGGCCTCCCGTCTGCCATCTTGACCACACACGCACACCAAGAGGCAAGCAGGGGGTGCACACGCGACACACATGCCAGAACACCTGGAACAGTTCTGGGCCCATTTCTAGTTGAAAATGAAGCTGATTCGAGCCAGCTTGGCTGGCGTTGCGGAGCGGTGGAGACGTGCGAAGGGGTTGTGATCAAGAAAAAAGAGCAGATTTTCGAAAGAGCAAGGAGTTACAATAGAGTGAAGAGAGGAGAGGATACGGCATGAAGGCGACCTTGAAAACCAAAACCCGCATCAAGAAGGCAGGTCGGGTACCTTGCTTGAAAGATCCGCGAAACGCGCTAGTCGCGCGTAGAAAAACTGCGCACACAGAGGGCAAATCACAGCCGCCTGGATCGGCATGCGCAGCGGTGTTCAAAGAATCGGCGGCCGTGGTCAAAAAATCGTTTGTTGCCCCAGACAGGTTTGCGTGGCCACACCGACTTCAATATTTCGCGATTCGTTCCGCGCAAGTTAACAACAGTTTTCGTGCTTCCACACGCGTGCGAAGGGCATGCCGAGCCGAGTGCAAAGCGAGCGAGAACAGGTCCTAAACACGAAACGAATCGCATATTATCAGAATCTGTGGGGTGACGTACGCGGGTGCACTATACGCAGACGATCGGATACAGTCTGTGACCATGTTGGCAAATGGTCTGGTCACTCCAGGCCGGCGACGCCAACGATAGTACCAACGATCACGGACCGGTCTTCGAAAGATCGGTGGCAGTGTGAAAACATGGTCCTCATCTGGCAATGCAAGGTGCTCAGAGTAGCGGAGGGACAAAGGACGGAGGAGTGCGTAACAAAAAGCGGTCGAGGAGAGCAGCAACTAGAAGGGCGCGGAGGCAGGGTTGGCGTTTAACAATAAGAATGTATGGGCACCTCGCCGATGCCTTATCGGTGGTTGAAAGAGGTTTCCCTGGAAGTCTGCAGAGCGCTGACCCCGTTCGTTGTAAGTGTGATTTTGTGCCATTAACCTAATGTATATTTTCACAGTCACGCCAATATTGGTCATTTTAAGCGAAAGTTCGTCTTTGGTCGTTATCTGTGGGCTCGACTGTATTTTGTATTTCAAATTCTCGATATATCGAACTATTGCGCGATCCTTTTCGAGTTCGATATATTCGGGAACGAATAATGCGGGAATGGTCCCACAGTAGCGACGTAACAGTGGGGTTCTACTGTAGTCACTATACTTGATCTTTTAGAACATTGATACCCACTAAAAATGTCATGCAAAGCTCCAGCTTTGTGCGATGCTCATAGCCAAGTCCCATTCACATGCGTATTCAATATGTAGAATACTATGGCATGCTGCACTCCTAATGGTCTACAATTTCTTACGTCATGCAAGAAATTTGCATCGACAAAACAGCACTGTTTGTAGACATTCCAACTAACAAAGCCAAACACCGCACCAAAAGGAAAGCTATACACTTCACAAACTGCCAGCGCCGAGCCCAAGCAGAGGCACAGAGACCCACCAGCCATGGGATCGTGCCGAGCAGCGAGCAACTGGGCAGTGGGGACTCAAGGGCTGGTGGGATGCCATAGGGGGCGGCTGTAGCCCAGGTGACACTGGCCCCATTCCGGCCAGGATCTTCACGAGCATGTCCTGGTTGCTTTGCTGCTGCTGGGGGGCCATGGCAAGGCCCTTGCCAGCAGGAGCCGGTGGACGCAGCAGCTGCGACAGCAGGCCCGGGGGCGGCTGTTGCATGCCGTCTCCACCACTGCCACGAACCATGCCTGAGGCACATAACCAGACATAGAACGCCGTTTCGAGTCATCGAAACAGATAATGTACAGTCATCGATTTTGGGCAGACTGAGCCTTTCAAATGTCTGCCTTTCAGAAGCTTTAATCTTGGACTTTCAGCATATAAAAGTCTACAGTTTATCTCTGCCATTAGCATGTTTCCCAGTGTTAAGTTTTCCTGACTGCTTTGTTGTTTCAGGCCAGTCGCAGTATAGCACTGACAGGATCCAATGCACTGGTAGCATCGCCATTACGTTGCTACTTTAGAAACATTCCTGTGTTATATATCATTAACTAGTCCTCTAAGTGGCCATGTTGACTTTTCACGCAGCTTTGCCTGGCTTTATGGGCAACATCCACACCACTGTGCAGGGTAGTGTGGACGTTACCCACGTCGCACTTGTTTTCTGCATGCAAAACTATGGCCTGCAAGACAAAAAAAAAATGTTAATTACCAGAGAGCGCACACTGATGACTGCGACAAAAAGAAAAAACAAAAGTGCTTTGCGCACACCTAGACAATGTCCCACAAGACACTCGTTTGTGTCTTTTGCATTCTTGTCTAGTTTGTGTGCAACCATTCTTTTCTTGCAAGTATCAACCAACCTGCCATGCAGCAAGTTTTATAAAAAGCATGGCCTTCGGAGACTGCTATTTCCTTTATAAAGATAGGGCCCTTGACATGCTTATTGCCCGGAATCTGTTTTAGAGTACAGGTTCAGCAAAAGTTAAACCTTTCAAATTAGCTTTTGTTGCCACGATCATTGCTGGCACCAATTTATCATTATAATTCCCATACAGTCGATACCATACATACCGAACTCAAAGGAAATCATAGAAAACTGATATATTGATGAATCAATAAATAAAAGTATGCATATCTGATGCCTAAATTAAATCATTTCAGGCCTCAGAAATTATTACAAACACTGACAATGATTCACTCTCAGTATAATGAACTGTGTATGAAATGATAATTACTGCACTTTATTTCGCTTGAAAATAGTCCATAAGCTTGTCTTGCTTCTAGTGTACCATCAAGTTGATTATTCTCAATCCTTCAGCCTCAACAGCATTGATTGACCCATAACACCGATGCAAGCTTAGTAGCGTGGCTTGTTGGTTAGCAGGGACAGCGATGGCGTTGGCATATTTATAACCCCACTGATACACTTCTGCAGAACTGGCAATGGCAGCCACAATCTCAGCAATGATGCAGTCAGAAACAGCTATGTCGTCATCTGTAGCGATGAGTCGCTCACTGTACAAGATGGTGCCCGAAATTGCTGATAAGTTGCAGAAATCACCGAAGCACTGTACACCAGTGGTCATAACTCCCCCCAAGTCGCCACCTAGCCCACAAGAAAATTTACGATGGTGCTTTATTTGACATCGCTCCAAGCACCAGCGATAATTTTTATCGCTACATGCGTGTCGAAGTTCTATTCAACTCTCGACTGAAGATTTATCAAAAACAAGTCCACAAAGCGCAAAAGAAAAAATGTAGCCTCCGAGACGTGCGTTTGAAGACTGAAAACGCCAAAAATATGTCACGAAGTTGCACATTTTGAAGGCCATGCTTTTCAGGCTCGTGTGCAATTGTGTGCTAAAAAACAAAGAAGGGACTACGAACATTATTACGCGATCACAGAGTCGCTTCGCATTCTCATTTTGGTGTTACAATGTAGCCGTAAATTGATGAATATTTGCTGGGCAAAATGCACTTTCTAGGCTTTGGCACGGTGCAGTGTTCGATATGGTGGTTGTCCTGCTGTGTAGGAGTCCGATATACAGGTGCACCGATCCCATACTTTTGCATTAGAAATTCAAGGAGATTTGACTCCTTGAGTCAAACTGTTCGATATGCTGTTCGATATGCCAATATTTCGATTTATCCGAGCTTGATATATCCGGGATAGACTGTCCCATCTGAGGTGTCTGCTTAATGCGCTCTTCTCTCAATAAATGCATCTCCCAAGTCGTCACGATAATCATGCAAGCGTCCTGCATGCAATTATTTCTTTGATTCATTGAATTGTTCATGCCAAAAAATGTTGTTCAATAATAATGTTGCAGTGGATAATGCCATTTTCCCCTTTGCAGTTCGAGCTGTCAATAAGATTGCGGCCGAATGTGCCAACTAAGCTTGCACAAATACTCAAATGCTTTGAATATTCGAACAAACAGTAGAGTATCCAAATTTGCTTCGAATTTCGCTTCGAAGTATTGGCAATGAACGAATAGGTGCATATTCGTGTGTAAAATGAAAATGAAACCACCTGTAAAGGTTGTTTCTTTACAGTGTAGGAGTGCGAAGCCGTGAAAGCACCTATTCAGGTGAAATCCGCTTGGCCGAGAAACTCGGCGTCAAATTTAAGGGGGGAGGCTACCCTGGAGACCAAACTTTTTTATTTTTTAAGATATCTAGATGAAACTTTCAGGGGTTGTTCACTAAAATAAAACTAGCACAACTGCTAAGTTTCACGAAGCTGTGTTTCTTGGTTCCAGAGTTATTGAGGTTTAACTGGGTGCTTCACATAGGTGCCTGAGGAAGAGTCGTGAGAAATCCCAGGACATAGTATAAAGCTGAAATTCATTGTGGTCATTCCTTGATAGCTATCCCAGGGCGCTACAAAGCCGTTTTTTTTTAATTTCCCCCCCCCCCAAAAAAATTTTCACGCAACTTTGAATTTGATGTAACCAGTAAAGACCAGATTCATCAAAAATTAATTGTTTATTATAAATTAACAGCACCAAATTTCAAAAAAGGAGCTTGTTACGCCCTTGCAAGGTCATTCAGGAACAGAATAAAAAAAACGGCACACAAATCCGATGAACGGTTTTCGAGTTCTTGCTTTCCTCAGCACCACAACTAGCAAAAAAATCCGTTCTGAGAAAACAGGCCGAGAAAGTTCAAAACACGCGTTTTCTTCAAAAAGCTCCAGCACAGTAGCTAGAAGTGTCCTGGCGCACTCTTTTCTTCTTTTGCCTGGCCTCCATCTTCTCTTGGTGTCTTTTAGAATTCTTTTCTAGGCGTAAAGCGTCTTTTTCACGAGCTCGCTGGATGGCCAGATGACCTGGTTGAAGTCCAAAGGAGTCCGATATCACTTGGGTTGCTTTGCAGCAGCCGGCATTGTAGCGCAGCACTGCTTCATGCAGTGCTGTTTCTACCGCGATCAAGGATGAGTTGTTCCTTCGGCATCAGAGACCACAGAATGGAGTGGAATGATTCTGATGCATTTTGCGTCTTCGCTCCCAGGCAGCACTGAAGAAGCGACTTTTGTGACAGTCTTTCATAGATGGGCAGCATAGCTGCAGCGACATAGTCCGGTAGGCTGTGTTTATGTTTTGGCTGTGGCTCACGCTTTGCCTCTGCAGCTCTATGACGGCACCACGATTGAGCCCCCTCTGGGCAAAGTTCATGGTGAGTGTCCTGATCAGTCGATGTGACGTGGTGATATGTTGCCATCACTGCACGCTGCATGGCTGTTAGGTCAGTTGAATTGTTTCTCAGGGCCCAACCATAATATCCTGTCAGCTTTTCAATGAGGGCTTTAGTCAGCTTCCCCTTCCCACTCAGTGGCTCTGAACATGGTTCAGACATTCTTCTTTTACAATTGGCACTAGCCCGTACACATTCTCTTTTGTGAGGGCAGCGAAGGTACGGCTGTCTCCGTCGGACACAAGAGTGGTGTACCGCAGGCCATGCTTGGATACAGACCGCCCAAAGAGAGTCAAGCCTGCCTCCACTTCCATGCTTCCCGATTTTGCGTCTGTGTTTTTCTGGCAAATGTGGTGCTTCTGCCAGCTTTCGTATGCTGCATCTCCAGGTTTGGGCCCTGTTTGGCATCCAAGGCAGTCGTTTGAAAGAACTACAGCACCCAAGATGAGACCTGTAAAGAAGTCAATTACCGATCCCACTCCGATGTGCGATGTGTGACCCCGCTTATGCCATGTGCCATCGTACACTACGGTGATGTCCTTGCAGAAGCTGGGGTCCATTTCTTTATATGTTTTGATCACTGCTGTGGCAGAATCAGCATAAAACTTCTCCAAAGCGGTGGCCTCTGGCTTCCTGAACGTCTCTTTCAAGTGCTTTTGAAACGTCTTGTGGTGAAGACCTCTGCAAGAGACGTTCATGGCAGCCCAAAAGTCATTAAGAGCCGTTTGCCCCTTGCCTATTTGCTTTATAGCCATTATGGCGCGGACATTTACATCGAAGGCCTGCGTGTCCTTTTTGCGGGGTGATGTCCATAATTTATCGACGGTGCCACAAGAGGTGCACACGACTTCAAGTTTTGTTGCAAGTCCAAGCTTGGTGCTCTCTTGGACAGTCATTGCACCTTTCAAACATTCTTTGCACACTGTGCGGCTGAGCACGACGTTAAAGATGTTCATTTGAACGAGTGAAAAATGTTCGCCCTCACTTGTCACTGCAGGTGCAAAAGCCGGCTGCATCAGTTGAAATTTCTTCTGCGTCGCCGGCGTAGACTCGAGTTCAGCGCGAACGGCGTCACGACGTTTCGCATTCGCATCGATTTCTTCCTTCGTTAGGAAACGCGTCCGCAGATGAAGCGACGGTCCACTCACGCTCGATGGCGGCACCGATTCAGACGAAGTGCTGGGTCCGGCGATATCAGAAGCACTCGGTGTCACGCTCGATGGCACCGATTCAGACGAAGTGCTGGGTCCGGCGATATCAGAAGCACTCGGTGTCACACTGGATGGCATCGATTCGGAGCACGTGTCGAGCCCGGCGATCTCTGAAACACTCGGTGCATTTGCGGCTCCAGCCACACTCGATGTGTCGGATTCTCGACTGGCGACAGCCGACAACACAGTTCCGTCGCTGCAAGCGTCTACACAGTCGGCACCCGCAGCAGAATAGCGGAATTTCGATGATCGTACAAGCCGCATAGCGCGCCTCCGCGCACCGGACTTCCGCACCGACTTCGGCTTCGTTGCCGGCATCGCCCGCAACAACAAAGACGAAAGGCACAGAACTAGTGCAAAAAGAAAAAAAAAAAACGAGAGAAAATGATCGAAAAGATAGCACAAGGCGAAGAGCGACTCGTAAGCAGACGTCTGTCGAGGCGGACGGAGCAGAGAGCAAGAACGAAGCGAGCGCGCTGGACGCGCCATCGAGAGGAGCGACCGCCCCCGCTGCTGCACAGCAGCCAATGGCGGGCACGCTTTCTCCCGCGAGATATGAATGCGCTGCTCTAGCCAATCAGCGCTCCGCATCGCATCGCGGGAAAACGCCAATAGCGTCTCAACTGTGCTGCCGACGCCATTTTGCAAGGCCGCGTCCCCCCTTAAGGTAGGAAGGTAGGAACGAGAGAGAAAGAATTCACGGTCAAAACAACAAGATGGCGCGGGACAACCGCATGGTCCGGGAATGGCGCGCGCGCGAAGTTTGGTTTGATTTCGGGATTTGCGCCTGTTTTGGACACCGCGGCGGCCTCGAAAATAGTATTTTTTTTGCACTTTGCGGTTGAATTAGGTGCTGATAATTACAGAATAGGTAGTTTATGAGACATACAACCCAAAAATGTGGTTTTTCAAAAACAGACTTTTTCGCGATTTTTCGGTTTTCAAGGGCCGCGTCGTCCCCCCTTAAAAGGGCCATGCAATACTTTTTGAGCATAGTCTGAAAATGCTGCCGATCTGTCAAGGCTACCGAGAACATGCGAGCCTAATGTAGTGCAGCGCACAGCCTGCAATTCACAATAAACTCTCAAATCCAGCTGAAAATTGCTTTGTTTTCTCTGCAAATGATGCCACAAGCTCCAAAATCACTCATTGCAGCCATTTTATCAGCCAGAGCATAGAGCGCTCTGATATTACTGGGGCCGCTGCGGGAGGTCGCGACCTGTCTATGGGTATGTGCGCAATCGCAATGAAAAGCCATGTATTCGAAGAAAAAAAAAAAGAAAAATTACTAAAGGCCATGAGGAGGGCGTGACGCATTTCCTTTCCCCGTGACATCTCTCCCTGCTTAGCTTCGAGCGCTTTCGTCAGGATGAGATACCAGAATGCAGTTGCAGCATGCGACAAACCTTCGCAACTCCACTCGCACTGAAAAGATTCCGGAAAACTTTCGCGGCGGTGAATTCATGAGGCAACAAGCTTGTTTAGTGAATCCATTCCATGGCTATTTCAAAAAGTTTTGCAGGGCCCCTTTAAATGAACATATTACCCTCAAATCAATTCATCATAATATTAAGCTTAAAAGCTTGTTATGGCGGCTTATAAGATCTAAGTATAATGAATTTTAACATGTTAGGTACTTGACAAATTATCACTCGCATCCTACCTTAAGGGGGGACGCGGCTTTGGTAAATTGAAAAAGGACAAAACAATCTATCTTTTAAAAATCAAGTTTTCAGTTTCTGGAACCCTTTTTCTATCCGATTCCCAAATATCTACACTGACAACAGCACAGAAGTGCTTCGAAAAATTTGTATCACCCTTCGGGTAAGTTTTTCTGTAAGTGGCGAGAAAACATCGATTTTCAAAAATTATACCTTCGCGAGGGCGCAGCCTGGAGCAGTCTTGGGCTCATCGGAAAGAGCGTTTCTCTATGTTCAAATTTCCCGCCTCAGCTGGCTCCTTTTTTTTTTCAAAACAAGCGCACAAAAGCAAATATTTGAAGGTCACTGTGAGGCCCATAATTGGCTGTGGCCGCCATGTTGCCCCAGCCCACCTCGCCATTGGCCCGACGCTCGCTCCCGGAGATCGTCGTCTGCTGCTTGTGCGTCGCGAGGACATGGCCATCAAAAATCTTTACTTCGCGACGTGTTCACCACTTGACGATTACTTGGGACAGTTGTTCTCAGATAGGGGTCCGCGAAGTGTTTTCTACGATCCGCGAAACCCTCACCCGCATTTTTCTTTAAGCGTGACTGTGCCACGTATTAATGAACTGTCCAAAATGAAGTGATGTAGCACGTTTGTTTGATGTTTTTGGTAGCAATGAAAGGCACCTGCCTTACGCTCCAGTTGTGTTAAGGGGGGACACATGGCGTGTGGAGATATTTTCTGTATTTGTGGACCAAACATGAAAATATACATGCTTACGTAGTTCCTCCTGCTGATTTCAAATATGTAAAAACTTAATTGTAGGTCAATTAATTTAGAAAATACACAATGCTGCCACTTTATTGTTATGACGCACCGCACGCTCTACAAGCGCGGTGCGTCATCGGAGTTGTCTTGAGGCCTAGCTCTGCTGGCGGTGAGACAAACTTTCCGGGCAAGAACGCCGTGCTAGAACACTCGTGGCAATGTGCTTTTTCGCAAGCAGCGAAGCACATAACTTGCCAGCTCCTCAGAACCGCGGATGGGCATTTTACACATCGGCAGCAGACCCCACTGTCATGCTATAACCTCTGCAATGCGTTCAGCCATCAATGGCCATGCCGATATGGCACAGTGTCTCTGGAGGGCCAGACCTTCGAAGAAAGAGGGTCAAGAACGTCATGCAGACTTCGTGCATATGGCAATAATATGACGAGCCTCGTTTCTCAAAGCGGGTACAGCCTGGGGCACAGGTTGGGTGCAGACGGGCCACATTTTGAGTAAATGTAGCAGGCTGTAGCACACTTGGTGTACAGTTTGACGCACTTGGTGCAGTGGTAGCATAACTGGTATAGATAGCCTCAACAGTTGCTTGGCAATCTCTTAAATTACATTTGCAGCTTGGCTGTCAAAAACGAAAAATAGCTGTCAAAATGAATCGGTGGAAGAAACCAGAATGCGAAGCAGAAATCTGCAGACCTGCCAGCAGAGAGTGTGGTGGCCAAACATTGACTTTTGCAACGCAACTGAAAGCATATGCAACAGCGAACTGGCATTTGAAAACTTCAAGAAATCGCTACAAGATTACGAGACAAAAGTAGGAGAGCTGTGTAGTGTCAGTGCTCCGTGCCAAGAACCGAACTTGTAGTAACTATCTGTTTTCCCCCCTCCCTCTACGAAGAATCAACAGAAGACCACGCTCATCGTGATGTACCGTATTTACTCGATTCTACCGCGCCCTCGATTGTAAGGCGCACCCGATTGTAAGGCGCACCCGATTTCCACAGCGGAAAAAAAAAAAAAAAACGTAAGACATCGATTGCAACGCGCACCCATTTTTCTCGCTGGCCCGCACGATCACACCACTCTAAAAAACGACTCCTTTCGGGAGCGTCTTCCATTTAAATATGAGGTACGGGCGAAGCTTGGGCCCATCTGACGTGTAACAGAGCATCGCCGTCACTGTAGTTTTACCGTGGACCGATGTGAGCACGCGAACTTGCTTCGCCCCCTTCTCGGCGGCTGTGGTGCCATGCATGTCGAAGTAAAAAGGCGTCTGATCGGCATTTCCAATTTGCCCAAGCAGGTAGCCGTTGTTGCGCCGCAAGTTTAGGACGAACCTCTGAAAACTGTGAAGCTTTTCATCGAACTCCTCCGCAAAACTTTTCGCATATGCATGTTCCCCTTCGGAGGGAAAAGCCTTTCCTCTTCATAAAGTTAGTTAGCCAGCACCTGCTCGCTTTAAACTGGCTCCGCATTAGACCGTTTTCTAAGACTAATTGCATAGCCCGCACTTGGAGCAGTTCTGTCGTCACGGGCCGCTGTGCCGCTCGCTGCTTAATCACATACTCGCTGAGGAGCTCTTTAATTTGCGGAAACCGACCCTTCTGTGGTCCACTGAAGCCTTTGCGTGAAGCTTTGCTGTCGACAATCTCCTGCTTTTGTTTCCGCCGGTCCCGCACGCACGTTTCAGGAACTCCGAACGACCGCGATGCGGCCCGATTTCCGTCCGTTTCTGCACACGCGATTACTTTTCTTTTAAAAGCGGCATCGTGGTGCACTCGAGTTCTTGGAGTCGGCCCTTCCACGCAGTCGATGCTAATGCACTACTAGATGACGGACTCCTCAGCACACGTACGAAGTGCCGCACATGGGAAACACATAGGCAGAAATGGCAGACGCGCCATGCCGCCGCACGTAGGGGGTGGCCATTTTGGATTTGCCGATGGCAATAGATTGACCGTAATTTTTTTGTTCGTACTCGATTCTAACGCGCATGCGATTTATGAACTCGCTTAACCGGAAAAAACGTGCGCGTTAGATTAGAGTAATTACGGTATGTGGATCCTCTAAGCAATAGGAACCCCCCCCCCCCCCCCTTTTGTTTGAAGCGGGGGAGTTCCCCAACTCTCATTGCTCTTCCTTTATAGCGAGGCAATGACCTCAACGAGATGCCTCTGTGGCAATGTGGGTAACCCGTGTTTACCTGCGAGTAAATGATGGTCCACTCTTATCTCTCAAGTTGTCAACATGTGTAGCTCTAGCCCCTGCACCACAGGGATAGCAAGCAATTGCAGTGGATATCACACATACCGTGATGCTGCATAGGTTGTGGTAGGGGTGCCTGGCCGGCGGCCCTCAGGAGATCTTCCTCCAGAAGGGCCCTCTCGGGCAAAGATGGAGGCACCATCAGTGGGCCTCCGTGGGCGCCCTGGTGTGCCCCCAGCTTGCTGAGCAGGCCTTGAAGGTGCTGCTGATCCTGCTGCTGGGGCAGGTTGAGTGTTGGCACTATCCCCAGTGGATGGTGAACCTGCTGAGACTGCTGCCGCTGCTGCTGTTCATGGTGGTGGTGATGGTGGTGGTGGTGTTGCTGCTGAACACCCCTGTTGTGGCCACCCAGAACCACCTGCTTCAGGTCGGCTTCCAGTTCTTCCACGTTCTTGGCCTTGCCAGACAAGGCTGCACAGAACAACAGTCTCTCAACATCTGAACAAAGCTGGATGAACAACAGTGATGAAGACAGTTTCAAACACCATATTTGCGGGTAAGTAGTGTACATTCTAAGGGCTTGTTCTCTTTGTTAAACACAGTATTCACGAGACCTACCAAACAATCATGTCAAGAAAAGTGTAGGGGTGTTATTAGAAGTACAGTAAAGCCTCGTTATAACAAAGTGGGATACAATGAAATAATGGATATAACAAAGCAATTATAATTCCCCTTGAAACTCCCATAGACACCCATGTATTTAAAAGATCGTTTAACTAGGTTTAACGCACGCTCACACAGCAACTAGAGCGAGCGTGCAAGTCAGCTGGCCTCTTCTCTCCTGTAGAACCTCGTTGACCCACCCGCGCATCTGACCTCCCTTTCAGCTCCGCACTGGGGCCTCATGCGCCGCCGGGGCAACGGAGATTGTAGCTTTTTAAAGGCGATACGATAGTCTTTCTTGGGGAGCTTCGACGGAAAAATTTTGGTCTGTCTGTAGATTTGTCTGTCCGCCCTAACCATACCTCAAACGGCATTAAACGGCCAACCCCATCCGCAGCGCCCACCAATATTGCTCAAGGTTTAGCGTTCATAGTTGTGCGATTGTCAATTAAAAACGCAAATATTGCGCATATTTGAGGCGCCATAACATGTCTATGCTTTGTAAACTTGCCTTTATACTAGTACACACACAAGTAACTCTAAGGACTGTAGCGTTTAATGCGCTGCGCTGACAGTGCAATGCGATGCTCAAGAAGGTGTTTCCAACGCTTTGCTACGACGGCACAGTGGTGGCACTTGCCCGTCCTTTGCATTCTACACCTTATCACCCCCGAGACTGGCACGCATCTTTCTCTGCGGTTGCGCACAGCTTCGTTTTCTGCCAGATGGCGCTCGTGTCTAACGTGCCTAGATGCGCTTGTTCGCCTCCGTTACACGCTCGAAGCACTCTAACCAGCGCCTTCAGAATACCATTAACCGATTTTTTTTGCGCAGAACATCAAATAAACGTTTTGTTCACTCTCTCCAGACGCAAGACTATCGTCTTTCGACAACATTTACAGTGTAACATGTAGATTCGGGCCAATTTTTTCTTTGTCGTTCGCTGTGAAAGAGCAACACCACCTCTATGAATTTCCGCCACTGGACACGAGATGGACAATGGCAGCGGCAAACGTAAGCGCAAAAATATAACAATTGAGCAGAAGTCGGCAATGTTGAAAGCCTTTGAGTATGGCATCAAGAGAAAAAAAAAAGCGGCTGAAGATTTCGGCGATGTGTGGGTTCCGCGGGCGAACAGGCCCAGACGTTGTGAGACGCTCTCTTTGACGCCGGCGTTGTGCCCGACTGCAACACTTTCTGCACGTACGTCGGTGCCGATGCTGACGCGGTGACAACCGAGGAGTTGTCAGATGTGGAAATTGTGCCCGCGGTGACGGGCATACAATGTGACAGTGGCAAATGTGTCGACACCCCTGAGCCTAATGTTCGTGAACACGACATAGCGACACTCGCGCAAGCGCTGGATGCGACAGACTTTCTATGCTGCTTCTTTGGTGCTTACGATGACGGCGATGACGAACACGAAATAGCTGCTGCAGCTCAAAAAGCAGTCATCCACGTGAGGAAGAGTCGGCAAAAGTCTAAGTACTACTTTTCTTCGAGGTGATCTGTTAGCTGGTGTGCTGAATTCAGCGGAAATAAAGTGCGTTGTTCTTTATTATTTTGCTAGTTTTTTGCCTTCCGACGGCTGTTTTAATCTGCGTGGAGGGCAGCTGTGATATTCGTTGGCAAGTAAATTCTCTCTTGCTGGCTAATTGTCGGTAGAAATGAATACTGGCTATAACGAACTAATGGTTATAACAAAGTAATTGCAACTACCCCTTCAACTTTGTTATAACTAGGTTTCACTAATCGCAATGTAAATGTGAAGAAAGAAAAGTGGACTAAAACGTAATTTGCCGTGGCCAGGTACAAACCTGCGACCTTCGAATAATGAGTCCGATGCTCTACTAAATAAGCTATCATGGTGGCTATTCCCTGTCTACTTTGTATGGTATGTAGGTGCATTAAACATGAGGAAGCTTACTTGGGGCTAAGGATACAGTGACATTTAAAAAAAACAGGCAAGTTAACTTTTACAGAGCACCAAAAGCAATCTCTTCAAGAAGCTAGGTAAGTTAAAGAAGAACGAATATACTGGTTGCAAAGCTATGTTAAAGTATAAGCTTGCCATGTTGCAGATACCGATGCACTTACAATATGCTACACGATGAACATTACAGACCTCCATTCACAATTTTTTAAATAAATTTCACCTTCAATGTCCACACAAAAAAGTACGAATACAGTAAAATCTCGGTAGAACGAACTCTACGTTAACGAATTTTTAAAAATCCCGCACCGTCTGCTAATAGTTTCGATGTAAAATTATTTCACTACTACGGACGTCCAAATACCGAACTTCAACATAATGAACCCTAATTTAGTTCAGCATATTATTGACGCCTCAGTACTATGAAGTCATGTTATAAAATCTGTCGCGACTACCGGAGTGGTGTGCAGCAAGCAGACGACACAGCGAACGGATGCTTTGCTTCTGTGAAGACGCGGAACGGTGCGGAGAGAAAAAACGAAAGTATGACTTTCTCTTCTTTCTTTTTGTAGAAACGCCGACACGGCAGGTTTACAAACGCAGAGGTAAGGTGCGAGGGCAACACGTGAGGGCAAGGTCAGCAAGGCAGAGTGGGAGTTGCAGAGCAAGAAGCATGGGAGCGGAAAACCTGAGACAGCGAGGGAGCAGTAAACGAAACGAGAAATTTTTTTTAGGTCTTTTCTTGGGAAGAGAGGACTACATGTGCTCTGGGAGGCCTTGTCAATCATGTTCATCTTTTCAGCGATTACTTATTATTCCGTCCGCAAAGCACGTTGGTGGACGCACTGCGGTGCTACTACAAGGAATTCATCTCTGCTTGCGACAAAGAAGCGGAAGCAGTTTTCCCGAAGGAGAAAGAATGGAAGAGCTGGAGGCCTTCGCGCTGCAAAATTAGTGCTGCACGCATTAAAAAAAAAATCTGATTTCTTTAAGCAAATGTGCATTTTTTGGTGTTCACTTGCACATTTGTTTTTATCATAAAAATGAGTTCAAGGACCCACCGTTGTAGAGGTAAGTCGTTTTGGTCAGTGAAAAATAAGTGTCTATGGTTAACTTTTGTGCTTTCACTATAACAACCTTTCAAAATAGCGAACAAATTGCTGCGGTCCCCTGAAGTTCGTTATACTGAGATTTTACTTGTATAAAGAAGTTAGCACAGCGACTCACGCACAGAGTGACAACAGATTTTGCCACTTCACAAAAAATCCTTCCATTTGTGCTGTTAAAGTCGCATTTCTACACCTGTTAACTGACAAAACTTCGTGGCCAAGATCGCTTGTGGGATCGTTTCTCATGAACATGCATATATCTACCAAACGTGAACAGTGAATGCAATAGCTTGGAATGCAATTTATGAAGATTTTGATGTTTTCATTTATGGTCAAGCTATATAAGCCGTGTCTTGCAAACACTGACATGATCTCAAATCAATTGCTGCTGTTCGAAACATTCCTTGTATCTGCAGGGATGCAAGTCCCCGTGAATCTGCCGATTATTTCGACCAAAATCCCTGGCCCCCTGCCCTCACCATGCTCCCGTAGCTGGGCAGTCTTTGCAGCATCACCGTTGAGCATGTGTGCCTCCACATTGATGTTGGCATCCATGAGGATATCCAGGATGTTCTTGGAAGAGCCCTCTCGGATGGGAGGCGACGGAGACATGCGGTCCGGTGGCAAGGCAGGGCTGATGGGCGTGAAGTAGGAGTCCGGTGTGGGCACCCGCAGCATGCCATCACTGCTGGTTACACCAGCTACAGAAGACCAGATGAAGAGAGAACATTAGCTGTCCTGCTTGGCAGTGGCTTCACCAATACATATTGGTACCATTCCTGGTTCAATATACAGTCTACCACATTGTACAAAATCTTGCTAATCTCCAGCTACCAATAAGAACCTCGCATCAAACATACTCTAGTGATTCTATATGGAGGAAAGTACTGCATATATTCCAACTTTTTTTTTTTTTTCAAGAAAGTTAGAATTCAGTACGATCATAACATTGAGTTACTATAAAATCCATCAGCATTTAACTACAGTCCGAGATTCCCAGTTCCGAGTCTCAGGAAATAAAAGCAATAACTGTTCAAGGAAAACTCAACAGTTACATATTTCTGCAGTTGATATTGTGCCTAACTCTTTCAGCAATAGTTAGGCGGCATGTGTCAGTGAACCACTATAGCCGTGATGAATTGTCAAAAGGGGCTCGACAGCAGTCTGCAAAGGGCTAAAGAACTAGGGCCACCTGACCACTGCCTTGTGGAGTAGAATGAACAGTTGAACCTCAGAGGTTCAACTGTTCAGAGGTTCTCTGTATAACCGCCGAGAACCTCAGAGGTCCTCTGCACAAGGGACATGCACCAAGAAGCAATTCTAGTCTTTCACAGGAGTATAAGTAGGGTACCATGCATGCATTTTCTCAACAGCTACTTCCAAGATAGACACATCGGTGTCTCCTATACCCAAATATCTTTTACATTAGCGTCGCTAATAATGGGGTTCGACTGCAACAGCGTAATCGGGCCTTGTTCACGCTGCCTTCTCAATTGCTAGTCTGCCTTCACTTTTTGGTAGACACCCATATCGCAACCAGAGAAACGCACGTGTGCATAACATTGGCTCTTTCCAACTATCTTAGTAGGCCTACTGCAAGCACAGTTGCGAAGGCGGCCTAATTCTTGCTTTGTAAATGGACGAAGTACCTACTATGCATTTCTAAACAACACGTGCGCATGCGTACTTGGTTTATGCAGTTGCTGTAAATGATCAACTATGCCCGTGCACTCTGTAAATGGAGTTAGAGAGGGGGGAGGGTGCCTTTAATCAAACAACCCGTTATGCGATTCATGCCCGACAGGATTCCATGGTTTTGCCACGCAATATTACATATACTGCATGCATTTAGACGATCCTCTCGCAACATAATATTTGTGTAGGGTTTTTTTCCTGAAACAGTTTTACGCTCTGGCATATCTCTGTCGTAGAACATCTGCTTGCCATGCAGCAGTTCTGGCTTTGATTTCCACTCGGGTGAAAGATTATTTGCATTCATTTTGCATTTTCGTTCTTAGAAAATGCAGATTTATCGCTGAGAATTGTGGATGCCAACACAAACTGGAATTTGTGGGAAATAAGCCCTTTATTGCTGTTGCCATAAAATAGTGGTCCTATGCTATCTTCGGGTCTACACCTGGCAACAACCTTTTCTGGCAGCACAACGATGGCAACACAGCCAAAGCCCGCACTTTTTTTCCTTATGCTGCCACAAGCGAAACTAAACGAAGATTTTTCACATTTTCTTGAATCTCATTTTCAAGATCATGCACGTGGATTTGCATGCAATAATTGCAATGATGGCCTCCACTTCAGCAGCAGCAGCAGCTCTACAGCAGTGAAAGAGCTATTCTGCATAGCGAAGAACTCCTACAGTTGAGGGAAAAGATGGAAAAAAGCAGAAACAGAAAAATGAAGCAAGGATGCTATTTCTGACCTTATCAAGTTCTATAATGGTGAAAATAAGTTCTGTAATGGTTCTATAATAAGTTCTATAATGCTGTTCCATTTAATGGGAGGGAGTTACATTGACAGAGAAATTAACAGGAGTGCAGAATGCAAGTATGAAACTGATGTATGAGAGGCAGTTGTTCCATTTACCAGAAGTTCAGTTTATGTTGCTTCAGTTTACTCAGACGTCTAGTGCATTTAAGATATCTAGAACAGCATCCCAGTAGGAGCAACTTGCAGGATACGCACAGCAGAGAGGAAAGGAGGAGGGGGATGAGCCAGAAGAGGAAGGGCTGTCCAGCAGGCGAGAAGGGAGGCAGGCTTCAGGCAGAAGGCACAAGTCCTGTGCAGGGGGCGGAGCAGACTGGGCAGAGAGCAAGGAAGCATTGGGGGAAGATGGGGACAGGGAGGTGACAGCAGCACCACTTCCTTCCGAGGCAGCAACAGTGGCACAAGCACCTGAAGCGAGGATGCGCGAGGCTAGGTCGTTCTCCTGACGCTGCATGGACTGCTGATGGTGGCGGCGGTGGTGGTGCTCCATACCATCGTCGTCGGCCTTCCCACTGAGGGCAGCCAGCAGGCCGCTGTCCAGAGGAGGCACCAGTGGCTGGTCTAGGGGCGGGCTCTCGCGTCTGAACCATTGCGAGAAGCGGCTGCCCCCGCTGAGGCCAAGGTCTCCATCAACCATACCATCCTCCTGCAAGAGGATAACCTCACTGAGTGTATGCTTTTAGAATGCACTTCCTCATGGCACTTAGCTAGCCACCTGTACGGCTGCGTCCACATTGGTGCAGAGCAGGCGAGCAGCCGGCTTTGCTCTGCGGGGCTACACCTCGTGGCAGTTGTGGGTTGGGTCATGGTGTGCCCAGGTGTATGCACAGCCTAATGCTAATAGATATGCCGATAAGCTTTCCACAAGTGACTACATTGAAAGGCACGCTTGTTGAACTGAATACGGACGCTCCCTCAGGGCGCTTTCGACATCTCGAATTTTCAAAAAATTACAAGTTTGGACGAGCAACATGCTCTTGTCTCAACACTCATCACCGCATCATCTTTTGGAATCAGCAAATTATCAACATAGTTGGGGGATTTGCAGTAACATTGTTTACCATCTCGCAAGTTTTTACAGGTTACTCAAACTTCCCCACTTACTTTCTAGCAAAGCAAATACCACAACACTCAAGTAGCTTCTCTGCACTCAGGCCTTGTTTTACAGGTAATTTGGAACTGTCCCACTTTTAACTGGCTAAAAAAATGCCTCACCGATGATTGGACTTGAGTCTGGCCAAGATTGAAATAGGGGCACAAACCGAAAGAAAGCGAGGACACCAGTCAGGCTTGAAGATGTCGTTGAAATCGAAGCCATCCTGAGTGGGTAGGGCAGGCGGTGCAGCGCTGACACTGTCAGGCAGAGTGGGACTCGACATCAGCGGTGTCGACGTCTCTCCAGGCCCATCGCTCGAAGACTTGCTCGTGTCGGTCATGCAATTTGTGCCTGTGCTCGGTGACTCTCGGCCGTCATTTTCTGTTGACAAGGTAGTTGCCCAGCACAAAAGTCACACTCACTTTGAACTTACGAGAAGCCTGCCAACTATGATGCAAAGAAATCGTGCAGAGTGAGAACGAAGCAAGCTTTACACTTATGAAATTCGACAACTTGAAGCCCTTACTTTAATATTCCTACACAGCATACGAACCGTTACCAAAGTTGAAAAAATTGTTTTCGTACTGCTTTGTTGAGACATTTTCTTATGGCCTGGTATGTGTAAAGAAATGTTTGCTTCATTTTATCTGCCACTGGGGTATTGTCGCAAACTCGATTTTACCTTCTCTAGCATCTAGCTTCAACAGCAATGCGCTACGTCAAGGACACAAGAATGAACGCTACAGGAAAGCTGTATCCACATCAACTGATGATCTTCTCAACTGTCTGAGATAACGCTCCTCAATAACTTTTTAGCTCTGCTTGCAACATTAAATGCTAGAAATGCATTCAAGGCAATAGCCTTTTTGCGAAAACCAACAAAATTACGTTTAGGAAAGTCTTCATCGCAGGTTCAGTCTTCATTCCTAGCAGTATTATAGTGAAAAACGACAATATTGAAACACCCTTTGTGCAATAAAAGACGTGTCTTATTAAATAGATCTGTGGACTGGCCAAGACAATCATTGGAGAAGAGAAATGAACACTTTCAGCTGTGCATTACCGCGACTAGTCAACAGCAGTGAATGTGTAAAGTGCATGCACGTGCTGGGCTCACTTACCGAAAGTAAAAGGTTAAGCGAATAGAGAAAGCAGGAAAAACAAGCTCACTCTTGAGAGAAGATGCTGCAGATACTGAAACAGCAGGCACGGAGTTGGTGTTGGTAGTTCCAGCAGAACTCTTAGACGTTGTTGTGACTGTCTGCTGCTGCTGCTGCTGTTGGTCCTGTTTGCTGTTGTCCTGATCGGGCGAACGGCGCTCTGGGCCGTTTTGCTGCTTGCGGTTGGCGAGTTCGCGGTTACGGCGCATACGCCGGGCGGATGAAGACGAAGTCCCACGCGTGGGTCGGTTGCCGGCGTCGGGGTCCTCCTCGAAGCCCACCAGCTCGATGGTGTCGTGCTGGCTGGTCGGGCCACCCACAAACCATTCGGGCTCTTCCTCCTCCTCGATGCGTTCATCACGACCTAAGAGCAAGACAATAATGGCACATGAAGAGTGACAATCGTGCAGCAGTAGCGATGTATAAATTAAAGCAAGCCCATCACCAATCGTGCAAGGTTGGGTTAGGTATGACCTGCTCAAACCGAAAAGACACTCCACAAACACAGCCAACTTTCAAAGCTTATTCTCACCACCAAATGGGCACTTTCAAACATCAAAAAAAGATAGCTTGCGCCAACAATCCAGCAATTTGAATTTGAATGAATATTACGGTATTCAAATTAGCTTAGAATCAAATTTTAATTGTAGGAAGTGTTTAAGTATTTGAAATAAATCAAGACAAACCACATGTCACCCCCCTGTAAAGGTGGTTTCACTGAAATGAAGGGGTACTGTGCCATGAATATTGGGGAAAATTCACACTGCCGCAAAGCCCCACTTCAAGGTTAAATGAACATATTAGCCTCACATCTATTCACAATTTTTTAAAATTTAAAAGTAGGAACCGCTACCTATTGTTCTGAGCAATCCTTGGCAATGGGCATAGAGTTACTTAATATACACTAGAGGGAACTCTGGCGCTAGTGTCTATGGGAGCTGCACCGCACGGCGCTTCAGCGGGCATGGGAATGACTGGTAGTACACACATTTGTCTTATTTTCGTACTTCTGGCCCGCTTCTGGCTCCGTGTGTGTTCGTATGGCTTGGAGCGTTTTTTTTTTCACAAGAAAAAAAGTTAGCAAATGTTCAGCGTTTGCGCTTCACAACCTTATTCTTTTAGGCTTACCATTTTGAATCGGGTCACAAAGTTCAAAAGTGTGTTACTTTTCTTCAAAACAAAACCGTAACCAGGAATAAACAAAGCTGCAAGTACGATTTGCCACCCGCAAGTATGAAGACTAGGCAAATGTGTGCACCAACATCATTCCCATGGTAGCTGAACGATCGCAGCACCAGAGTCCCCTCTAGTTAATGTCTAGTCTATGGGAGTGAGCAGTGAGCTTCACTATGGGTCCACTGCCGATGTGTAAAATGCCCATCCAAGTTTTTGAAAAGCCAGCGAGCTATGTGCTCCGTTGCTTGGGAAGAAGCACGCTGCTATGAGTGCTCTAGCGCAATGTTCTTGCCCGCAAATTTCAAGGTTCATCGCGACGTCAGCGAAGTTAGGCTTAGTGACGACTGATTACGTGCCACGCTGTTTATGAGCACAGCGCACCATGATCTGATCAGGCACCCGTTTACAGCTCATAATTTAAAGGGACCCACAACCAATATTTATGGTACCCGTTTTCTTGACTGCAACAGAAAGCTTACGGGTCTGAGCTTGTCAAGAATGGTAACGCGGAAAATGCCGTAGAAATTTTATAATCAGAATTTTTGATTTGCAGCGATTATGCAGTCGCAAGCAAGACATGCTGCAAACCACCTGCAAACAGTGCATGTGATCACAATAGCGATTATATGCCATTGTAACGCCAGCAGTGATGAAAAGTAAAACCCTAAGCCCAGATACATAATGTGTATGTCAAGCCTGCAGTTTTGCGACCACTGCTTTCTAGCGTGCTAAATTATTTTACAGGAGTTGCAGCACTTTCTTGGGGCTTCTTATGCAAGTACTTTTGGCTGCGCACAGGTTGTTTGTTCGACTTATGCAAGTCTTTGAAAACGAAACCATGCGTTTACACGTGATGAACAATTCACGCATGGTACTTCATGTTCTGCCATAGTTCGACGGCTTCGATATGTCATCGCTGACAACTTGAGCCGGTTAAAAGAACGAATTCTGGCTCGCGTGCATACACAAATTTCAGACCCTTATCAAGTAGCGCCAGAGCGACATGCTTCAATGGACGACAGCGGTAGCAACGAATCCGACGGACTGCCACCATCACCACCAGCAGCAGGCATGAGTGATAGCAAGTCTTGATACAGCAGTATGTCGATGGCATTTCGCGTGCCGAAGCGATCGCATTCACAAACTCGCGTGCTTCTTCCAACGCGCCCGACGCGACAGAAATCTCGCTACTCTGGAAATGCCGCGCGCATGCGCAATTGCACTCGTTTCCCTGTGGAGGCCATGAAAGCAGCGCCGATTTTCACATTCAACTTCTTTTACGTTGGGTGCATAGAAACAAACCAAATGAACAATAACATACATATTCAAAATTTAAGCACTTATTCTGGTGCGCTTTAAGTAATCACAGTGAATTTATTAGGACTTCGTATTTGTGGTTCATGGCTCTAACGCTAGGGGCGGGACATGCCGGTTTTGGTACTTTTAAACACTATTTAAAAATATAAATCTTACTCAGCTCGCAAAAAGTATGCAGTCGCCCGTCACCACAATTCACGCTCTTTTCCTTTCCACCAAAACCTAATCACCCATTCTGGCCAGTTCTGGGTCCCTTTAAGCGCCATTATATTCTAATTGATCGTCGAGCCGTGAACAAACACGTCACGATGCAGTTATTTTCGACAGCCGTGTCCTTGTGACCCACAAGCAACAGACGATTTCCCAGAGCGAGCATTTGGCCAATGGCAAGGCGTGCTCGGCAATGAGACGTCTCCCGCTACCGACCACCAATGAGAGGGAAGGCCGCTCAACCCTTTTCCTCGGTTCACTCTTGTCTATGTTTCTCAACCACTCCACACAGAGACTCGTGCTGGGGCCCGAAAGTACGTATTTACTCGCGTAATCCTCGCACTCGCATAATTCTCGCACCCCCCACAGCGTCCAACAAAAATATGATTTCTTTTTTTTTTTTTTTGAGTAATTATCGCACCCCAAAAAACTGCTGCAATAATGTCGTCTGCTCATTAAAACCACTGATGATGATAGCATGCACTATCTGGCGCCATCTCTTATGCATCAAGCGTACTATTATTCAATCCAAGCCAAAGTGGCAAGTGCGCGTTGCGGCGCGTTTTTGTATGTTGTGTCGGTAATCTTGTCACGTTATGGGGCGATACTGAAGCTACACGGCTAATTTCAAGCTGAAAGTGATAGATCATGCACTAAACAACAGCAACAGGGCCGCCAGTAGGCCCTTCGGAGTCTACGAGTTTTGTGTTCGCTATTGGTTACGGCAGCTGAAAGCCACCAAGACGCGTTGGGCCTTCCGAGTGTCTAAAACTGGGATTGATGGTAAACTTTATTTCTTCTGAAGGAAACTGCAGACGATTTTGTTAAATAGCCATTAACCCAATACTGACGTCCTACGCTTGCCTTTTGAGGGCTCCTGTTTAGCGACAAACGCTACCGCTACGCCCGCAACGCCCACAAGCTTTGCGTTTGGTATTCTAATTCTCGACAATTTCCTTGCACTTTTTGTGTCTCAAATAAAACTTCTTTTGTGTTGAACCTGTGCTTTTATTGTTGAGGTAAGTTTTAATTATAGCTTCTCAAAGCTTGCCGTTAGTTGCTGGTGTGAGAATCCCGATTTGCGACCACTTTCCCCGCGAGTTTTCCCCGCGTAATTCTCGCACCCCCCAACTTTGCAGCAGTTTTCCGCCAAAAAAAGTGCGAGGATTATGCGAGTAAATACGGTAAGAGGCTACAACCTGTTCCTAATTACTGATGAATTTTATTTATTACTAATTGCAAACTGCATACACTCATGCTGCCTGTGTACAATCACTACACAAAATTATAACATGATTTAGACACTCGCGACGTTCTACACAGGGCACATAAAGTAAACACACGACGACACACACACCATGAAGAGTTACTAGTTAACGAAACCGCACAGTGTCTCAACGCACCACCTGCCATCCCTCAAAGCCCGTCTAAATAAAATAGTTTAAGATAGTCTCACGAAAGGTCCATGTTGACGGGGGCCTCTGAGCCAGCTGTTCGAGTCAGCGCTCAGGGCTTCTTCCCGAGGTCACTGTCAAATTCGTCAAGGTCTTCGTCGTCTTCGTCATCATCGACTTCGTTGTCTCTCTCAGTCATTCTCATCTTAGTCTTTCATAACGTCCCAATCACTCGCCTCTTCGTCTACCATTCCCAACTTTCATTCCTCGTCATATCGTCCCTGCCTCAGTCATCATCTCGATCGACTCTCATCGCTATCTCTTCGCACAGTTATCTTCCTTTTCCATTCAGTCTGCCTACCATCTCAATCTCATCGCGCTGTCTTCCCCGATCGCAGTTCCGCAGTCTCTTTTCGTAGGACACGACTCCGCCCCTCTGAGGCACCTAACAAATTGCCACTGTTGATGCGACATATATCTTTGTCAGTCGGTGTGTGTCAGCTTCGGCGACTGCCCCTGCAGCCCACGACAATGAAAAGCCCTCTCTCAAGCAAAGTAAAGCAAATAAAGCACGAATGCCAAATTCAGAGAGAGAAACGGCGAGCTGTCTTACCACAAGTGAAATATGGGCAACCAGGAGTCCCAAAGCTCAGACAAAGCGGGCCGTCTGTAATGAAGGACGCGCAGAGTTTAGAAGACTGCGCTGTAAAATTCCCTGGCCGCACCAATTGCCCCAGTCTCCGGTGCCCGACGACCCGATGTCCAGATCGAATTTAGACACCTCCAACCCGGTGTCCCCCGCACAATTCTCCGCACCCGCCGGCTCTTTGTCCTTCAACACCACGGGTGCTCATCCGGGCAGAACGCAATAATGAGCCCGGGAGCCGCGGAGGCTGACCGAATGTCATGCCAGGCCTGGCACAGGCGCTACAGCAGGGTCGCATGTACAGAACCAACAAGAGGTGCTCTGCTGCCCTCCTGCCATAAATCTGAAGGGCGCACACAGTGCATAGGTGCCGTAGTGTCCATATAGACAAGCCGCCACCCGGTCCTGGTGTTTGCGCGGTGGGCCCGCGTAAACCGTCGACAGCATCCTTCCAGGAACTCGACTCCCGAGCACGCATTTGTTACCCCGAGAGTTTTCTTTTTCCCTTTTTCCCCCACTGCGTGGGTTGAAGAAATGAACGTAAACATCCTGAAAGGCCCGAGATTCGGTCCGCGTTTGCGGGGATGCCACAGCAATATGGTGAATGCGGGCAATCTGAGGCCTCGCAACATTGCTAACACATCTGCTTTTTGTGCAGTTCTTTCTGAATGAAGAAGCCAGCTGAAGCTGGGAATTGGAACACTGGTAAATGCTCTTTCCAATGAGCCCAAGAAGCTACCGTTTTTTTGCGCGTATAACCCGCCCCTGCATATAATCCGCACCCCCACTTTCAGCTCACTGAGAAAGAAAAAATCCTCGCGTATTGCCCGCACATTTGATATATAGGAAAGGCTGCACAAAAGCTACTGCTCAAGCAACATAGCACATATGTAGACAGAAAAAGCTTTATTTAGCAAGCAGAATACGCTGTCTTCAAGGCCAGTCACAATTCACTCACTGTCGCTGCTTTCGCTAGAGCTATTACTTGAGCCGCTGTCCTCACTATTATGCACAAGGTCATCTTCGGTTCCATCCATGTTGTTTGTGATGCAGCATTTCTTGAAACTTTTTCGCACCATCTCACCTGGAATGGCCTTCCATGCCTCGACAATCCACTTACAGAATAGGGCAATATTAGGCCTTCAGACTCGTCCTGTCGGCGTCAAGTCGTAGCAGCCTTCGGCCATCCACTTGGCATAATAGCGCTTGACATGCGCTTTGAAGGGCTTGTTAAGCGACACATCTAGAGGCTGCAACATTGACGTCATTCAACCGGGTATAACAACTAAGTCGGTGCCGTTGCGTGAAAGGCGGTCCTTCACTTCCTCAGTTGAGTGGCCGCGGAACGAGTCAAGAACGAGCATGGACCTCTTTGCGAGCATCGCACTGGGCCTCTTCTCACATACCGTCTTGATCTAGTCTACGAACAAGTCACTGTTCATGTGCGCGCACCACCACACCGGCAGGCAAATGAACCTTTGGTAGAGTTTTCCTTTTCAAGATGACGTACGGTCGCAGTTGCGTGCCGTCGGCGAGGGCACAAAGCAAGACTGTGATGCGCAGTTTCGTGTTCCCGCCGATCAGCGTGTTCCCGCCAGTCAGCACGCTCACCGAACTGCGGCCCGTCTTGACAATCGTGTCCAACGGCATTTCAAAATAAACAGGAGTTTCATCCGCATTGCCGATTTGCGAGAAAATGTAATTTGCAGGCCAATTACATATCTTTGGTACTTGAGCAGCTTCTCCTCATAAGAAGCCGGCAAGCGTTGACATATTGTAGTCCGCCGGCTGATTGAGAGCCCTTGACGCTTTATAAAGCAGTGCAGCCATGCGCGGCTGGCACGGAACTCGTGAGGTAGGCCTAGCTCCCTCAAAAGTCGCCGCGCTTCTACTTGGGCCATCTCGGTCGATACGGCGTGACCCCTGCTTCTCACATCTTCGATGAACTTTACTAGCTCTGCTCCAGCTCAGGGTAGGCACTGGTCTTGGGGCCACGAAACGACCTACGGTCGCGGCGAGCAGCTTGTAGGCTCTCTTCTTTCTTCACAGTCTCACGCAGGACTCGTCCACATCATGCCGTCTTTCCGCTTCGCGATTTCCGAATTTCTCGGCAACGGCGATGATCTTAAGCTTTTGCTGTGCCGTGAAGGCCTGCCGCCGTACGCTACTCATAGCGACAGAACAGATCGACTTAGGCTTGGCGAACGGGTCTAGATGTGGAGAACTAGCGGTATCAGCGAGGTAAAGAGCGCTCACACTCTGCGACAACTTGACAGCACTACCCCTTCTAGTACACTGTAACAGCACCCTGGAAACAACAGAACCGAAATGCATGCCTGCTACCGCGTCAAAAAGTAGTACATTAATTTACTGATAATATCTCTATAGGCACTAATATCTCATTTGCCTTGCTGAAATAAATACTGCTTTATTTATTATGGAACTTACTTTAATTATTAAGGAACTTTCTTAGACAGCACCACCTTTTCGGCAAGCCCTTTCCAAAAGTAAACATGGCGTCCGTGACATAGGAACATGTGGAGGGTCACTGAGCGGCCGCGTTGTTGTGCGACAGTGAGATTTTACACCGAACAATCGAATTCTCTCCCCAAATGTTTTTCTAAACGCTTCAACGATGCAAGCAAGCGAAACCAAAATCGGCCGCAAGCTGCCGTCCTACTTGCGGAGCAACACGAATTTGCGGAAACCGCCTCCGTAGCCCTCGCTACACTGTTAAGGGGCTTTACAGCACAACACGCATTGCTGTGAAGCAGCACTATAGAAAAAAACCCCGCGTATTATCTGCACTTCCACTTTGCCACTGAAATTTTTGGGTTTTTGGTGCGGGTTATACGCGCAAAATACGGTAGCTTTCGAATGTAGCATCACAAAGCTAAATTTTTTTTAAAATAGCTGTTTTCTCGCAATTCCCGAAATAATTTTTTGCCACCTAGGAGGGTGAAACAAACTTTTTGAAGCATGCGCAGTTCTCAGTGTAGATATTTTGGAATCTGATAAATAAGTTCCAAAAACTGAAAACTGGCTTGAAGAAAAAAAACAATATTTTTTTGCCATTTTTCATGATACAAAAGGATACAAAAGAGGCGTCCCCCCTTAATATGACATTTCCGCACACAGTCTTTCAGTAAACTGTAAAACTGGGAAGTTTACGTTTGCTCACCTCTTCGCCGGTCACCGTAGCGGTTGGAATGGCCACCCCCGCCACCACTTGAGTGGCCAGAGTCGTCAAACCGCCGCCCTCCGTATCCATATTCGCGGTCTCTGTTCTCACGATCCCAGTCCCGCTGGTCTCGTAGGATTCGACCGCTACCTATGCGCCGGCTGGTGGGCTCCCTATGAAGCAGTCTGCATAGCAACAGAGACAAAGTCATTGAAACCACAACTGGCCTCACTTATGGTACTGTTAAACGACTACGAGGTTTGCATTTTGATGTGATCTGCAACAAAATTTTACTGTTCAAAATACACTCAAACCTTGTTATAACAAAGTCGTATATGCCATGAAAATACTTTGCCATATATGTATTAAATTCGTTATAAAAAATTTTTCATAGCCCTATGGCAAAGCTATTGGTCACTTCGATAAAACAGATACATCATTATATCGAAATTCGTTATATCAAAATTTGAGTGCATTTGAACGTCCCGAAAATAAACACAACTTCAAAATATAAAATACTTACTTAACAAAATAAATATAAATGCAATGCTAAAAATGAAATAGCAGTGCTTCTGAATGATGCACTTAAGCTTAACTCTCCTCGTGAACTCTTGTCTATCGAAAGGTGAACAGTCGTCACCATAGGCAGACTGCTTTAGAGACAGTTAATTTGTGTGCAGACTAGAAAAAGTACTGCTTCTACAGTACTTGACAGAATGTAACGCGCACCCGATGTCGACGATCAGAAAAAAGGCAGATGTTTTCTTCACCCTCAAAGAAAATTAAATTAAGGTAGAAGTCTTAATGTGTCATGTTCACATCTGTGTTCGTCCCTCCATTTTCTCCCTAGCATGGTTTCAGGTGGCCGCCTAAGCACGTCAACAGACACTGGTCGCGTCCGTTGGCGTGGGACTATACATTGCTTGCGTTTCGCTACCATAGCATCGCTGTGCCGAGCGCGTCAGCTCAAGCAAGGGAGATGTGTGCATCACGTTCCAATCTGAACAACCCTATCTCAATGGGCACAGCCTTACACTGAACACACTCTGGCATTTACGAAGTGTCCAATTCTTGCTGGCAGTTCCCTCCCATCCCCGAGTGTTTTGGATATGCCTCAACTGCCGGGGGATTTGAGGGACGTATCTTGACAAGCTCTGTCTAAACGGAGTTTATTGAGAATGCCTGCAAACTCATCGAGGTTCAGATATTTTCCTATTTTCGGACCGTCGAAAGTTCACTGCATGGAGGTGTGCAGCTTAAGATCTTCCTTTGTTAGCACGTCTCGCGGACACAGGCTTCAGGCACAGACAACAGATGCGATGTAGCCACCCTTAACACGAGAAATAACTTTCCCTTGATACGAGCTTTCATAAGTGCACCACTTCCACTTCGCTGGGAACAAACTTTACGCAGACAGGCACTTGACATGAAATGCCCCTGCGTGGCACAGCTGCAAAATTCTTCCATCACCTTTTTGTAACAACGCTGTCACTACGTCTACAATGTTTGGTGTGAACGTGGTTTAGGTTTCGTTTGCGGTGGAGCCATTTTGCCATGTTTTTCAAATAATGTCACGGCACCACAAAATCAGCCTCCAATATAAAATTCGCTAGTATCGCCTTAGAAACAGCAAGATAGTGAAACCTTGTCAAACTGTACCTGCTCGAATAGTAGTTTCGTTTTAAAGGTAGCAAAAGTCAAATACTAGACTGCGACCATTGAACATAACGAATTTTGTATCCGTATAAAGCGTGCCAGAATATCGCGTATGTATCAATATGTAGTTTTTGCAATTTTCGCTGCGAAATCGCCATGGCATGTTGTCCCCCGCTGGGCGTACCTACAGAACAGCAAGCCCCAGAGATCAAAACATGCCCCACTTGTTTGAGTTGATGATGGCGGCTTTGCTACATGGCCTCCGACGAAGGTTCAGCACTTGTCCAGCTAAGGCTTCTGATGTTGTCCACATGGCGGCGCTTTGCACAAGCTGTGTGCGCTTGCTTTGTTTTCTTCTTTGTTCCTTTGGCGACATGCCTAAGTGTTCTCTGGCTGTGCTGTGCTGTACGCGAGAGCTGCAGAGGCTGCGGGAGCGTCGTTCATGAGTTGTGTAGGTGTACTTGTGCTGCTTCGTACTTGCAACATGCCGAAACTAGGACAAAAACACCGAGTGGTGAAAATAGAGGAGGAATCAGACATACTTTGTGCTATTGATGTGGCGTGGGTGTGAATATAAATTTTTTAATGTTACGAACTTATTTGCAAGTGCAAATTTCTTTTGGGTAAGCCATAGTACCACTAAGCACATAGTTCCTTTGCGTTCCTGTCATCTACGGTTTAATGAGATTCCACTGTACGAGGCTTTTTGCAGTGCACACTTATCTGGCGTCAGCAAAATTCATGTGCGGAAAACATCGGACCTCTCCAACAGTAATTGACATCAACGCACACAGCTGCTGCTGTAAAAACTACTTGCAGCCGCGAAGTAGGAAAGAGCAATCTACTAAGCAAAAACTTCCAACCAGAAGAACACGACATCGTCTGCTACATCCGTTGGGCTTCCAAAGAAGTTCAAGGATCATGCGACTGTGAATACAGTCTTTTCCTCTCACGTGTAAATAAGTGCTGTCAACATCCCTTTGGTGGTACCAAGTCGTGAAAATAAACACAATGCGACTTCGCACTGCTTAACTAGGAAGCCAAAATTACCAGCACCCCTGTGATGCTGCATTAGCCTAGGCAAAAGAAATGCCTTTGCGTTTTCATCTTATAAGGATATGCTTCGGGGCTGCAACTTTTGTTGTTATTTAACCTTGAAGTATTTGTAGAACATCTTTAAAATATTAGGAAAATATTCTGTTTGATTCACGCTCTGACTTTGATGTTCCAATTTGCTTGGCACCCAAAATTTTGCTGTTTGCACAGCTCTAGTGATAAAGAATTTAGCCTTCCTTTGTCAAATTTACTTGTGTATCTCATTGAAATCTGACAGCACTTCAAAAGAACACCACCTTTTCAAGCCCTACCCTGTACACTTACCCTTGCGAGTCGTCCTTGGATGCGGCCTCCGAGGACGGCCGGGGCGGCTGGCTGACGTGGCAGCCCGTGCCGAAGCTGCGCCGCTGGGGGCTCAGCACCAGGTCATCGCGCTCCTCCCGTGCCAGCCGCTCCTTGGGGTCTGTGCTGCTGCGGCGCTTGGGGGCCCCCAGGCCACCGCTGGGCTCTCCCCCTCCGTCAGAGTCCAGCCGCTCCCGCTTGCTGCGCTGCTGCCCTCCTCCCGCCGAGGACGAAGGGGGGGGAGCAGTGCCGCCCGTCGAGGGCGCGGCCGTCTCTTCAGTGGGGGACGCAGACCCGCCTCGTCGCTTGCCCGAAAACCACCGCTCGGGGTCCCACATGCCAGACAGGCTGCAACAGAGAAACGAGATCAATTTCCCCATTTTAACAGTCATATACAGTCGACTCTCGGTAAAATCTGTTGAACGGAATGGATGCTTAAATGGAACAAGTGTTTCTGATATGATTGGTTTCACACTTGCATTCTGCACTCCTGTTCATCTTTCAGTAAACAGATCTCCAGTTACACGGAACACATTTATCTGGTGCCTATAGATTCCATTTAACGAGTCTACTGTATAGAACAGAAAAAAGAGGATGCCACTTGCATTATTAGTCAACTTTAGATCCTCCACAAGCGGCAATGCTTCGATAATTCATAAATGGCCACGCACGTGCGTGCATTGGTTGAAGGATGCACAGAGAGCAAGCTTTCCCCCTTGATTTGTGGCTTTGAGTCTCTCTAAAGTAAAATTGACTGAAGGCAGAAAAAGTATGCTGAGGCAGAGCTTCGTTGCATAGGAATATCTTATATATCCCACAAAATTTAAATTCTGATGGCTATGACCTCCAGCAAGCACTTTCCCCATTTTCCGAATCCAGGCAAGGCTAACTGATGTATCTGGGCAAGCACATGGTCACCGTATTTGCTCACGTATAACCCACCCAGAAGATACAAAAAATAATAAAGTTCCAGAGTTTCATTGCGAGTTATGTGCGAACCGTGGTGCACAAGTAGGCTTCATGGCACGGCTTAATTGTAATGCAAGGAAGCCGGCTTCACATGAATACACAAGAATGCAGTTTGTCATGCGGGGCAGGTTATACGCGAGAAAATGGTATTCAAACTAGCCTCTCAATGTGCCGGGCACGCATGTCGACCCTTCACTAGAGGCCAGCTGAGAACAACGCTGAGGTTTACACCACCAGTCGTTAGCGAACAGAAAAACTAAGGCATCTCGCCCCCTTTTCGCAACTGTTGCCCTTAATCTTTCTTTCCCTTGGTCATGTTTCTTCAAGCTGAATGATTGCTATTGATGAGTACAACAATAGTGACCACAGTTTTGTGCGCAGCGGTTACAACAAATTGTAGTGTTGTTCTCAATCCGTGTGCCTAATAACGCACAGGCCTTCAATTCAAGATGTATGCCTAAACAACATACACAAGCACTTCGCTTTCCAATTTCTGTAGGCACTAATAAATTAGTGCATGCCCGTGTTGGTGCGCCACTAGGTGCAATCAATGTACTGTCCATATGCCAACATCTTCAATGTGGGTGCCACTTGGTCTTTCAAGCATATCACATAGTGCAGTTAGCGACATCCTAAATGAAACTAGTACTAAATGTCAAGGTGTGAATGGAGAATTTTAGAGACCCCATTACCTAATGTATTGGCGATTTCGAAATCCTTGAGATACTGCAGAGCGTGAGCTAGCATCTGCAAAGGCCAATGAGCAGTTAAAAAGGGGCTTCTTGCCCCGTACTTCTATAGTGCAGGGCTTGAGGTCTTTCGAGTATTCATGCAAAAAAAAAAAGACAGTGCACAAAGTTCTGGTTCAACTAATTGTGCAGAAATGGAGGCTTCCTTTTGCAGCCCTTAGAGCAAGTAAATATTTCACTCGCTCAGTCGCAGACACCATTTACATTGCGTACACAAAGGTGACACTGTAGAAATAAAACAAGAAAAATAGAGCAAAGTACCAACACAACTGTCACCGAGGGCTAGCACCCAATGAATTGGCAGATTGTACTAGTCACTGTGTAATAGGAACATGCTTTGGTTCACGAAAAGCTCAATCTTCACAGAAGTTTTTTCATAACACTTATGTCCGCGGCCTGCAAAGCCCTGAACTTGAGTAATTTAGCCCGTCGCAAGTGTCAACCACTTCAAACTCGCAGACTGCATCGGTCGTCGAGCATTTCAGAGGTGAAAAAATTTAGTGAGATGTGGCTGTGGATGCAAAAAAGTCTCCGGTAAATATACTGGCATTTCGATGCAGTCGCGCTACTTTGGAAGTCGTGAACCAACGAAATAATTGTGAAGTGGCCGAAATGATTATGCAGCAATCCTAGGCAGGTGCCTGTTCCCGATGTGGTAAAACTTGTGAAACCTTCGTTTAAGTTTCCCTGAGAGATTCACTGACAAACATTCTGCACCTATTTCCTGTGAGCACTCTACAGCAAACCGAACAATTTTTCGCTTTGGCAGAAATTTCATTGCTGCAGTGTTCAATTTAGAAGGTGTGACTGCGAATTTTTCACGTGCTATTTTGGAGAAAACACGACCCTCTGGCTGAGAGCGTTGGAGTGCACTCACTTGTCATATGCTGGATCCAAGCAGTCTGGCCGCTTGAGGTCACGATTTCGCAGCTTGAGCAGCTCCGCCCTGGAATACCGGTACCGCGGTGGGCACGGCTTCTTGGCAGCCCCATTTTCGTCGGGTTCTGCCGAGGCTTCCTCTCCCGATACAGTCTTGCTGTCCCCGGAGCTGCTACTGCTACTGCTGTTGCTGCTGCCGCTGCTGTCGCCTTCCTCCGCCGCCACAGTTGGAGCCTCGGTTGTCACAGCACATGACTCCTCAGTTTCCACACAAGTTTCCTCCTCCTCTGTCACTTCTTCCTTGCAGTCACCTTTGAAGAATACAAGCGGCAAGTGTTAAGTGAAGAGTTGAGAGCAGGTAAAAAGGAAGTGCTATGCCCCAGTTGAGAGCTTTTGACATCCAGAGCAGTTTGTGTTGATGCGCTTGCCACATAAAGCTTCGGTAATCTTGAGCAATGTGACCAATCATAAAAGCAGTATCTTCAATAGATATTGTACTTGACCACGTATACCCGTTGCAGTGCGTGTTTTTTCGACGCAGCACCACACCCTCTATGAAGAAAGAGGACGAACAGCTTCACGTAGCCATGCCCTTGTTCTCTCCATAGGAGAGGGCATGGCACCATGTCAAAAAGACTAACATTCTGCAAACGTATGCGTGGAGAAGCCTTCATGCAGTGATGACACAGACAATTTCTCAAAGCTACACATGACTGAAAAGCTTTGCATTATCTTTACTACCCAGAGTTAGTTTGCAGCTGGCATGCCTGTAATCTGGCCCTATATATGTGATCTGTAACCTATGGCATACCCCTACATACACGACAAACAAGATGCAAGCCACATGCCTGGCTATCAGCTTTAAAATTCAAACTCGAACACTGCAGCTGGGTTCATCTGCTGCAAAGCCGGCCTGCATTGGAACAAACATTTGTAACAACCCACCCTTAGATATAACTTCAAACAAGATACAATGCTGCCCAATATAATGTAAGAATTGTGTGTAGTGAATGCTGCGGCCTTGAGAAGAAACATTTAGCTACCCAAATGCAGCTTTGCACAGTACACCTAGCAATACACAAACGAGACAAGCTACCTATAGCACATATGCATCGGCCCAATGAAAACAGTGCTGCCGTCGCATAACACCTAGCACTATTACTTCACAGTACCTGGTACCCTACAAACATGCATTGTGCACACAAATGTACTGCCCTACCGATTGGCTTTATCGAAGCCCTCAAGCTACATCGGTACTTGATTTGTTATGCGCCATCAAGGACCTCGTCTGTGAGCAGCACACTTAGTATCTCTGAGATACTTGAAGCACGACATTTGCAGCACAGAGCAATGAGCTAAAGCATCGTACTATTAGGATTTCTGTTTTTTTATTACCTACAAGACAAACTCTACAATAGTTACTTGGAACAACAGAATGAATGCCGCTACAAATGAACATTACCACCACACTTAGCCACTACCACTGTGAATGCAAGTTCACCTGCCAGAAAAAAAAAAGGTTCACTATAAAAACCAATGCTTGTATAACCCCTACTGCTTAGACAGCCTGCAACAATTGCGCATGGCATTATGAGTACACAACACCTTGATGAAAGTAGAGAATGAGAAATTTCATGCTCTTCCCAAGCCTGTGCCTCCAAAAACTTGTACTGACAGAAAACAGCCTTGCAAACGACAAAACCATGACTGTTGTCCTGCCATGTGCACAGAGAAAGAGGGTCTTTTGATGCTTGCCCAGAGCACATTAAAGTAAGTTCAAGATAGGTTGGAGGAAAGTTTAAAAAACTGTGCTCAAGAGCCATAAATATATCACTTTTCTTGTTCAGTAATTCTCCCGATAATGAACAGTGGCAGTAAATGTTCCCACCTTTAGGGAAGAAAAACTGCATTGTATAATCACTTGCTTTCGCCTGGCCACAACCAACAGCCATCACTCAATAACTGTGACACTGTGGCCTTGGCAACACATGCTTATTCTGTCACCTACAAGTGTGTGTTTTGCTGCGATGAGACAGCGCTTTGCCTCGCAAGTAGTTAGTCGCCTCATGTGCGTTTTGCTCTTTGTAAGATTTTAGACGGGAGAGCTTCATACGGTTGGTTCCATTAGACTGTTTTAGATGGGCACCTGCAGTAGTGCTGAATACAATGGCCTGCCAATAGACAATTCCAGTGGGGAGACCACAGCAGCTCTGAATTCGTGCTGCCAACTATTTCCAACGAACTGGCTTGCACACCCACAAAGCTGCTGTACATGCCCCACTTAAGCTGTTTAATGAAGGAAGTTATACGTAGGTAGGTGAGAAATATACGAGAAGTTTTTCAGACGTTTGACAAAAGCTATTTAATAAAGCAAATTATACCTAGTTAAGTACAAAAGATAGGAGAAGGCAATGAAAGTGAAGAATAAGACACCACCATAAACAGAATCTGAGGGCAGCCCCCCTCCCCCCCCCCCCTCCCCTTGACATTTGACAGATGTTATTGGATTTGATCCGAAATAGACAACACTGTGCTTCAAAATTGTGCAAGGGCCACAGACAACCTTGAGAAACAATTGAACCCTGTGTTAAACACCTGAATTCACCAAAACGATGGTTACAGCTCTGATATGCACTCTTCCTAACTACTTAAAAATGCAACATGATCCAATGTTAACCACTTCGGTTTTGAATGAAAGTAAATTAAAAAGAACTCAGACTAAACACCCAACGGTATTGACCATTGACAGCACAAGACTTTCTACTACATAACCCAGCTGCACTACCTCTTTTTTTTTTTTTCAAGCATGTACACAGTTCCAGTGACGTGCGTTTCCCTGCGAATATCAATGCAAGACATTTCAGGGCATTTGTTCTTGAGGGTTCAATGACCTTCTTTGAGTCAAAGGCTCCACAAACAGCTTAAAAACAAATGCGTTATCAAAGCTGCTGAAGCTGGAACTTCCAAAGAAATTGCAGCATACCAGCATGGCATTTTCTGCCACACTAAACAGAATTTTGAGTGGGGACCACAGAAAAATGCAAAAAAATTGTTCCCCTTCTTGGATTAACCTTGCTGGAAAAGTAATATGCACTCTATAGTACTATCTTAATTTATTTGTTTAATGCATTTAAAAGTTTCTGTAACGAAATTTTGATTGCCGCACTACTTGGTAAAGAAAGCTCAAATACAATTTGTCCCAAAAGTTTCTCCAGCGTACAAGTTCCTCAGTAGAATTGTGTGTTTGGGAACATCCATTTCCTTATAATATATCCAGAACTTTTAGTATTCAACAGAGCAAAGAGACTAATAAAATTAATGGAACAAAAATAAAGGCTATTGGCCTTTTGTACTGGTTTTTATTGATCACATTTTACCAAAGTGTTTTCTGGGCTGTGCCCTTTCCTGAGCACAGCCTACACTGTGATCATGTAGGCTTCGAGCCTTTCTGCAATGCTTTAGGAGTAGTTTGCAAATGAGAGACACTATGACAATGGAGCTTTATAGTTTGAACATTGTTTTCACACCACCTTTTTTATGCAGCTCTACAAGATTTCTTTCATCCTAGGGGTCATTCTGCAGCATTCCAAAATTGTTGGCAAGTTAATGACAACGTTGATTATGTTCCATGTGCCAAAGTTCAAGAATGTTGTTGGGCCCACTAGTTACAGTAGGTGGTCACTCTGGAGCTCACCTTGTATCATACTGACCTGTTGCCTCTAATTTTACTATTACTTCAAGCAAAAATCTTTCACGAGTAGATGGCCATCAGGTCACCGACACCATTAGGCTTCACTATGGCAATGCACAAACAATATAGGAGTCATTTACACTTCCAACAATGTTGAAAGTGTAAAGTTCAGCTGGCAGCCAACAGTGCATGGATATGCCTACAGGGTTCATTAGGTGAGCAGCGGTTTACAGAATTCCTCGCACATCCTATTCCTGCCACATCCAAGATGATCAAAGCGACGTGCATGTGGGAGGAGCAGAGGGTGCCTTAATGTAGCTGGAACACATTTACGCAGGTTATTCGCCTACAATGCAAGAAAATAAGCCTGTTTTCTATAACAGGAAGTGATTGGTATTAATCAGCTATGGGAACAAATGCATGTTGCTGTACTACATAGCAACGTAGCTGCTGCAATTTTCAAAATAGGTTTTGTAACTATAGTTCCCAATGGGGAATGATTGATGTGGATTACAAAAGGTCATGTCTGGAATACCAAGTAATTTTTATATAACCAAAATTTAAGTGGACCTTACCAATGAAGTTTCCACATTAAATGGTTAGTACAAAATTTAGACTGTAGGTGTCGCCCCTTTATTCAGAAATGCTCCTTTATTTGCCCCACTTTAATGCCACACAAACTCGTTTCAGATGCACTGTCTTTACACGGTGCCAAGGCAGCACAAAATCATTTAAAGTGTGCTGAATTGAAGGTGATGGAAAGTCAAGGTCGAAGAGCATTTCCCGAATACAGTGCTTAGCACAGGATTCAGACTGCAAGTCTAACACCCTCTTGTTTTTCAATATAAAACGATTACAGAATTTCAATTAAACCAGAAATCAGTCTTGGTAACTACCATATATAAATGACCTAAAAATGCAAAGCTGCATGCACCAAATTTCTGGAAACACTCGTTTACTAAAAAAATCGAACAATGAAGTGAAACCGCCACCAGATAAATGGAAAAAACCCACCAAGACGCGCACCTTCGAGATGGGTTCTCTAAAAGAATTTCGCAATCGCTTGCATTTATAGCAACAGTACGACTGAAAACAATTCAAAATGTAATGCTACACTTGAACTTTTGCCGAGTGCTGTCGCTCCTAAATATGCTGTTTTGGCACTGCCAAAACAAAAACGCAGCCTTTGTGGGAGATCTCACTTTTTGACACCACTATAGGCAACATCAATTTGCCAATTCATGTATGACCAACCATTTTTGAAGGTATTAAAGTGCCTAAATTGAGCTAAATTATAAATGCATATTGTACAACAAAACTGCCTTTTTAAGTGTCGTAACATTCATTAACACAGTTTTGAACATGAAGGTGCTACAGCTATTGAACGGGAGGCCTAACATTGGAAGCGCGCGCCTTGCAATCGCTTCGACGTGCAAGGTTCAATCACGTGACCTCTCCTTCCTCTGGCTAAGGAAAGCTGGTGGTTGGATGCGTTGTTTATAACCGCGAACATTGCGGTGTTTGTCACTTTTGAACAGTGTTGTTATGCTCTCGCTTTATGTGTACAGACTCTTACAGACTACACAATCCTGAAAGTTGCAGTAAAGGTTATCGGCAGCG